TTATATTTGTAAGATTAATTCATTTTAAAACGATTTATAAAGGGATAAATGATAAGCAGTTGTACAGACGAAACAGATTCATAAAAATCAGTTGATGTTCCTAGATTATGTTTTAATGTCTTATAACATGAAAACATTGTTACAAATTTTTCAAATAAAAAAATGATACCAATTCATTCTGCATTGCCTTGAGCACACACTGATGGAGTTAACAATGATGGAATTAGGATCTACGTGACAACAGTTACATATTTGGAAGAATTTTGTTTGTGGTTACATGTGTCGGCTTTTAACACTATCAAGCTAGCTTATTCTTCTAATCGATGAAATCCGTTTATCTGAATATTAAAGAATCATTACAGAATAGTGTGGCGTACGGCTCCTCGAAACACGTATAGCCAATGTTGGGATAAGGTCTTAAACAAAGTGCTTGTCAGTAGAGAGATTAAGTCTCTTGTTGGGACCCGTCATCGGGCTGGCTGTATTTTTCACCTGACGAAAAAGTTCCAGTCGGGGCAACGGTGAGTCTAGACGGTAACTAAGAAGCAGGTGATCTCGTTCGGTAAGAGCCGTCGCCCAATTCAAGTTCAAGCCTGATGTTTCACTTGTCTTCCCGACGACTGTTTTGCGTTAGTGTTTTGCCAGTCCTCTGGTGAAATGTCAAGGTTGTTTGGTCACAAAGAAGGAAAGGGAAAAAAATGAATTTGGTTTTCTTCCAACACCGTTCAGTAGAAATCAACCCATTGTCATTATGGAAGAATTTACCGCGTGCAGTCGAGATAACATTATTGGGCCTTTTGAATGATAAAAATTTCATTGCTGCAGCTGAGAAGTTGTTTACCATGTGCAATTAATTTGGGCTTTAAGATTGTCAAGAATAAAAGTTTTTAATGATTCAAATGACGCGGCTGGCAAACATTTCATACTAACAAGATTTTTCCAAATTTAGTGATATTTAAACCATTTAAATTCTGGATTCACAAATCGATCATGTTAACAAGTGAACGACCAATCTCTCGTGAGCACTACGGGAAAATGAATTTGAGCGTGTTCTAGTAGTTTTGCCGCCGACAAGTTCTCCTTGCTAACCTGCGGCGGCCAAGCTCTATGTAGCCGACCTCAGGAATGTTCCGAAAACCGACCAGGGTGTCGGTTCCGTCTGGGAGATCAAACGGGCCGAGACTGCGACCCTTAATCCCGCCTTACCGACCGGCTCACACGCGGCAAGCCCTTTATACACTCACCCTCGCCCTTTGTGAGGGGAAACATACTCCGCTCGGGAAATTATATCGCTGTAAACAAGGTACAGCAATCCTATTGTTGTTTCAACCTTTGACAACAACGCACACACCCGAACTTTGAAGACGTTGGGCCATTGATACCTTTTCACATAAGTGTTCTGTTTGTTTCACCGTTTGATTAATGATTAACCAAAGAATTGACAACTATTTTCAAGTTTCATTTACTTTGTAAGAATTAAACACCTTCAACAGAACAAGTTATCGAACGCTCGGTGATTTCTTTTCTTTTTATGTAACCTTATGTTGCGATTTTCATAGAGAATGCATACAATTAACGTGGAATATAAAGCTTAAATTGACCGACCAATATTTCACTTTCTACGTTTTTTAGTACAGACGATTTCTCTGAATAACGTTTGCGTTAAAAAGTCATGTGACAGCGATGTCTACTCTACTGTAGAAGGATTTATGTGCGTTATGAATGTAGTGTACAATGGATTTTGGTTAATTCATACATGCAGCGTCTGTTACTGAAGTCCCAGATGAGTGGACGTGCGCCTTAAAAGTCAAACTCAATCTGCTGTCTCCGTTTCGTGTAATCCAGTCATCAAATCGAGTAAAAAAAAGTCCCGTCTACTCCCAGCTCCCCTTTCCCTCGTTTTCATGGGACATAATTTAGGTACTGCTAGTCGAAAGGTCCCTCCAAATTCAGAGAAGCGTCAGACGCCTGTAGAGCTTCACTAGAAGCATCTCGGGGACTCTCTAACTGGCAAAAATATGACGTGTTGTCTCCCCCCCTCCTCTGTTACCACAGAGACGCATCAGTCAGGAGGGCTCGATCGTATGAATCCTCCCCTCTGGAGGTAATATCATCAGGGACGCGGGACTCGAGTTGCAGCGAGTCGGACCGGAACCATATGCCGGCATATTGTCACTCAAGCCCCGTAGCGCCACCTGGCCCGGCACGGTCACAAGTGCTCGTCAAACAGCGATTTTTTTTCTCTCTCTCCGTCAGTGGTATCCTTCTTTAGTTACGCGGATCTGGTATAGGCCTATATAAACCTGGATCCTGGATATCAGGTTTAGCTGCCCGCATGTATTCCATTTCAACGGGAAGTTTTAGTCCGAATTCGACAGAGATTTAGTGGTGAGTGTGTCCTGCGAGCAGGGGTCTGCTTTCTGTTTCAAAAGGATGGATATTGTTGGTAAGACGCGCGTCGTGATCGAAGATAATGGCGTGGATGAGGTTGGCCGAGCGGTGAACGCTTCCGGCTCAACATGGATCATGAACGCTGAGATCTTGACGGATGTGCATCGGGCATGCATGGCATGCACGGGTCTTCAGTGGGTGGGGGCTGAAAGGGGTCGGTCCGGACAGAGGGGGTCGTCAGGGAAGACTATAGCCGGTCAGACACGCCAACTGAGAGGAATTGATTAGGAAAAGAAAATTTGAGCGATGTAATAGACAAAGGATAAATAAAACGGTAGGAAAAGTTCCAAATGAAGTTGGAAACTCTTGAATAATGAAACCACCGAAATCATGGTCAACCTCCAAAAGTTTATCTTAAAATAGCGTGAGGCCAGGATTCAGGTAGAAAACAAAGAAAATAGACAAACCATTACTATCAGAAGTGAATTCGACTCTGCATCCCTTTAACGTCCCGCTCCAGTTTTTAATTAATTGGCTCAACACCCGGATTGGATATACCCGTGTCTCCCCTCGCCAGCTTGGGTGTCCGTTCTGCTTCACGCTCTGCGCGCATTGTGCACAACCCGTGCCCAGTGGTGGTACATAGCGTGTCGATACGTCGCTTGGTCGTCCGCACCGTCGACTGTACACTTTCTCCTGCGACTCTGAGGCGCGATGAGTGATATATTGCATTGGACTGCCCCGACAATATTAAGGCGATGACATATTTAGGCCTACGCCCATTCAAAGGGCGAGGGGGGGTCTCATTTGTAATTCCCACTTGGGCTGTGGAACAGGCCTTAATGGAATCGTATTTTACAATGGGGCATTTCAATTCGAATGTCATGCATGTTTGTTATTCCGTCGGAAATTTCAAGGAGTTTCCTTTTCAAGCAAACATTCCCTACGGATCACAATCCCCTTCAGAAGTAGAGTCAGTGTCACCAAAGAGCAAGAAACTAACATTGATCTGCCAACTACGGGATCTTTGTGTTTGGGCCAACTTAGCATCACGACTAGCTGATATTATAACACCAGCAACTCGAGTTGGGCTAGGGTTCCAAGTTGCTAGGTCAAGCTCACAACTGCATGCAAATGCCTGGCAGAGAGATTTCTGTAGATCTCCAACACGACCCATTCCCCTCAATTGTACTAGCACCCTTGTTGCCAAATATTTCAGAGTCGAGCATCTCCTCGTATTATTCATCGTCACCATGGAGCCGTATCCTCGTCTGCCTGTCCTCCAAAATAATAAGAAAAGTCTCAACCAGCCCCAGACTCTCTCGTTCCCCGTCATCCCAACCCGGCTCTCCACGGTCGCCGGTCATCCGAATCCGGCCCAGCGTTGTCTCTAGATAGTCTCAACTTCGGCGATCCGATGGACCGGAAGCCCGGGTCCCATACCCCAGCCGGCCCCACATCGGCTCTCTCCACCGGGGATATTGGCACTCCAGCGGCGGGCAACCCGAGACGAGGCACTCGGCTCGGTGTTTGGCTCGCTCCACCGCGCGTGACTGACAAACAATCACAGCGCAAGCCGGCCGCACGCTCAGCCAATACGACATCTCAGGAAGCCAATCTGTAAGCTCTTTGTCACCTTCCATGTACTCGTTTCAGAAATAATATCATTTTTCAAGGACTGTGAGCGGCTTTTACCATACCATGATAGAGCAAGGAAACTTGCTCTATTCTTTTTACATAATGTCCCTTTTCTCGCATACAAATTAGGAATGGACCCAGGCCTACCAAAACACCGAAGAACAATGTATACAAAAACTATTTCCCCTTTCCAATTACAGCGCAGCATTGCTTGATATCAACGTGTCTTTTGTCGACCGTCCATTACTCAGTATTCAGGTAACGACAAGAACGTAGCGTCTGCTTGAAGGAAACGCTGTAGTTGATAATTACCCTTGCGCTTCAGAACAGTGAGATTTTTTCTTATGGTCGATCTACCATGGAAATAATCCGAGTCAAAAACTGCCGAATCTTTGTCGAATGTATCCGGAATGTTCATTTGCATAAATCCACCTTCCCAGCCACTCCAAATTTGAATTGCAGTATAACGCAGTCTTTCTAGTGGCCCGCATGGCGTTCATTCCCGGTGTAAACACACTTGGCCGATACCGCGCGCCCACACCACAAGTACACAAACAGTAAGAGATACATATCTACATCAGACAACAAAAGATGGAACAGCCGGTGTGATTTGAGTTTGTCTCTCTCTCTCTTATGGGGTGGGGGCCCTTTGTTCAAAAGCCAGGAGATTACTGGGCCAGTGTCAACACAGAATTAGCGCAGCGGGAAATAGTGCCCCAAGTCGTCATAGGCTGAACACTGCCCATAACACATGCAGTGCGGTGATCACTTGAACTTATCGTTTCTACTCCGTTGTCCTTGTTCTGATATTTTGTGTTAACATTCTTTCTGCATAAAGTCGATCCGGACAGAAATTCCTCATTTTTCTCTATTTGTCTCGGAGCTGTCTACTTTAACAGCTGTGCTAATCCTTGAAACATTACTTTCAGAACTAACAAGAATAACAAAGACATTTGATCTGACCAGTCAGATTAATCTTATAACATTGTTTTATTTACAAAATCGCATTGTTCAACAATATTTAACACACCAATCAACATGTAAATAAAGTATAACCAATTCCAATCTCTCAGACTTTTTTTTCATTAAGCACACAGAGGTCTGTTCGACATTGAAACAGTACTATATTGCATGCAGTTTCTGTCAATTTTCCAACATATATGAATCTTACAATCTGTAGATATGCCCATCATCATGAGAAAGTAGAAGTTAATATTATTTAACAATACCCTGTGGTCCAGCATGATACACAGCCGAAAAAAACTGAGGAGATTTGTCACATTTCTGTCATCAGAGCAAAAGCACCAATGTTCAACGAGCTTTTACTCTACTTCCATCATTTTCAACATTTTGCGCGCAGGAGCAGTAACCGCTACTAATGTGGAGATGAAGTATTTTCTTTCATTGCTTTGAAAGTTGTCACCTTTGCAGGAACCTTTGTCCACGGACGCAAGAAAGAGAAGAGCAAACGCGAAGATGAGGCGGGTTAACAATGGACAGCAGATTTCTGTGCGTTTGAAAAAAATTCTAAAATCCTGTGTATTTTTGCTTAGAACTTTCCCAAATCCTCAGCAATCAATCACAGTACGGTACAGAAATCCAGTCGCATATTCTTTGTTCTCTTTGAGGGGCATCGAGCTACATTAGTAGCCTACAGTTCCCACAGTTGTTTGATCCCTTAGAATCATTCAGGACTGAATAAGAAAAAAATCTCCAGAATTACGGAGGAGCAGAAGGGCGCCATCTGTCGACTACTCCAAACTGAGATTTGTTGCACAGGGTGCCTTGTTGTCAGCTGCTGAGGTCTTGAATGTCAGGTTGGGCATGGTGGCGGCACCAGATGCTAGGAGGGCGCCCTCTGTTGAGAAGATACAGGTCTGCAGCTGCTCCATATTGCCCTGAAACCAGCGATTGAAAACAGGGCATCTGGTAATTGACGTTGAGCCTAAACTTTCGGCACAAAAAACTCATTACTGGGAAAGCAAGCAAGCTGTTGTCATCTTGTGTTTATAGCTGTGAACTAATGGTGAAACAGTAGGCTGGCATGGTGCAATGGCAAAAGTACAAGCTCTGCAGCTTTTGGTCTCCTTCTCACCTGCAGCGTCTTTGCACACTCTCCTGATAGTGTATCCCAAATTTTGACCTGCAAATCCAAAGATAAACACATCACTGTATACAATACCCAAGATCTTTCGGCAAGATGGTTGAATTGGATTAGATGAAGTAGGTCATGTAACAAGGAACTCTGTGTTCTTTAAAAGGGAATGCAGCCATCTTTCTCATTCACACATGGAGACCATTGCGAATGCTGATATCTTACCGATTCATCATCGCTGGCACTGGCCAGTATAGTCCCATCTGGTGAGAAAGCTAGCGCCCTCACCCATCCACTGTGGTCGTCCAGAATGAAGAGCAGGCTGCCGTCTCGAGGCCGCCATAACCGGATAGTTTTGTCCCACGAGCCTGAGGCCTACCAAGGGTACAAACAAGTAACCTGCTGACTACTGCTCTATGGTGCTGTAGGACTGGCTGTGAGCATGTGACAATTGAACTGTGTGTGGTCGCGGCCAGCCAAAGGGTTGGAACCAGGTTGAAGGGAACATCTTAAAACTTGGGACAATCAGAATATTGCACACGAAACACTGCATTAGGACAGGTTAGGGAATATCTCTAAAATTTGGAACCTCAGAATATTGCACTAGAAACACTGCATTAGGACAGGTTAGGGAAAATCTCTACAATTTGGAACCTCAGAACATTGCACTCGAAACACTGCATTAGGACAGGTTAGGGAAAATCTCTACAATTTGGAACCTCAGAATATTGCACTCGAAATACTGCCTGAGAATGGAGCAGGAAACATCAATGAACTTTGGAACCTCAGAATATTGCACTGGAAACACCACGTGAGATTCCATCGAGTACAGCATGAGTAATGAGCCTTTCACATCCTGAAATTTTTGTGGGTTTTCTGAGAGTAAACATCCTTGGTCTGCACCTCTTTCTCTAAACAGCTTATTTTTTTATTGTCTTCTTGTTTCTGTTTCTTAAAGCTTGCAATTCAGAGGGAAAGTGTCGATTTGGAGGAATCCATTTTATCAGTGCTTGTAGGAAATCAAATAAAGAGGGCATTATTTCCTGCCTCCTATGCCAAACTTATTCTGCCCAGAGCTATCCTTTCAGCAGATCCACAGTTAAAACCAATCCACATGTTTGCCTGAGTGGGATTCGAACCTGGATCACAGAGATGGAAAGCCTGGAACAACCACTCTACCACCCTAGCTCCATGAGCCATACTCCCAGCTTCAGCAGTGCATAAGACACAGCATTTCAATCTCACAATGCACATCAAATAATCTACAATTTTTTTTCTCCATTCTTACCAGCATGCCCAAGCTTGAGAAGGCGACAGCGTAGACATTGCCTGTGTGTCCGTTAAGGATTCTACACTGCTCCACACGAGGATCTCGGATCATCAACCACAGACGTACAGTGTGGTCCCAAGAACCAGTTGCCTGAAAGATATGCAACAGAGAGTAGAGTAGCATTTGATAAGAGAGTCAGCTTCCATTCAGGTAGGACTTTTGGTATCTTTACATGCACTGTGTACAAGGCATGTCTTTCTTGTATCAGTTAGTTTGAGTACTTCCACCGTTAAGTGGGTACATTCACACAGTGTACTCAACCTGTACTCATATTTTACTAGAGTACTCACAGATATGTACTCTAAGACAGCTACAGTATTGTAATATTCATGAGTGAGTACATGTGCTTTATTTGTGTGCTTTTTCTCAGACTCATGTACATGTAAATGTACTGGGCAACACCTGCCATGTTAGGGACTCATACTCGAGTCTTTTTTCCATTCTTGTACTCAATCCTATAGAAATGTACTCGACTAGAGCTATAAATAGTGTTACAGTACTTGTACTTTCTTCCTTTACTCACAATCGTTGAAGTGTACTCGACTGGAACACTGTATTCATGTTGTGCATAGCATTTCTTGTACTTTGTACTACTCACCAGGAACATGTCGTTGAGAGAAAAGGCACAGCACTGCACGACATTTTTGTGGCCAGTGAGAACATTCTTTGCCGTGCCAGTCTGAAAGCGAAAACCCCTATATCAGTAACTTTTCAACTACTGCTGAAAATGCCAAATATGATTACTTTGTCTGAGTGCATGTGCAATGCAACTGCATCTCTTCAGCAACAGGCCCTTACTTTAAGGTTCCAGACGAGGGCAGTGTTGTCCCAGGATCCCGAGCATAGCAACCGACTATCATGAGAGAAAGCAACGGTCTCTACACTTCTACTGTGACCTAAAAAGAAAAAACCAACAACGAATATTTAAAACATTAACCCCATATTTTACTTGCTCACACATCTTAATTTGCTTGAAAACCAAACCACAGAATATCACCACTCACGAAGATCAATCAACTTGAATGGATGGCGATTTCTAATACAAATTGGATCTCACACTTCCACAGTTCTGGCCAATATCCTGAGCTCTTTCCAGTTGCATCTCTGCAAACTGAATTTGAATGCCCAAGACTGAGTGTCATTATTTCACTTGGCAAAAGCAAGTCTTGTGCCCTCTCGGACCAGATTTTTGAGCTGTCTCTTACTGTGTGATATGTCCAAAGTCATTCAACTTGGAAACAGACTTCATGTACATCCCTTACCTGTCAACCTGTACACAACAGATGCATTAGCAGTCCTCCAAACGATGACAGTTGAGTCATAAGATGCACTGGCAATGAATTTGCTGTCAGATGAAACTGCAACACTCTTGATTGCACCTTTTAATTAAGAGCAGAACTTGATATTGAAAGAGCTGAATTTGCAGAAATTCCGTGGCAATCTGACAAAATTGAAGGACTTCCATCAAATTAACATTATTAATTAGAGACTTTAACGATAGCAACCAATTTCTGAGAAGTCCATCCATAGGGAGCTGTCACATCAACACATCATGGCATGGGCATGCAGGAACTTCTTTAATTTCCATATCTAGTTCCCAGACCTGTGTCCTTGAAACTAAATGCATCTGGAGTCTGGAGTACCGGATGATAACACATGGCAACCAATGAAAATTTGTACGGATGAATAGATGCTTTCAATACCTGATGAAATGACTCCACTGGACCTGTACCACTGAGTGAATCTTTTTTGGCTATCAAGTCAAGAAGTAAAAGCAAATGTTCCTTTTTTCCAGTCACACCTGGAAAATTACTGCTATTTTGGGATTACAAGCATGGCTAATGACCCGACCTTTGTGCTCAATCAGCCTGCAGACCAGTTGGCCGCTTAGTCTGTTGAACACTCGGACTCTGCCATCATCCGCACCTGTCACCATCATCTCCAGATCAGGAGAAAAGGCACAACAATTCACCTGCCATACAACAAAAGATTCAATCAGAATGGAGAGTAGGACCAAGGTTTGTGGTGACACGAACTACGTTGACCACATAAAACCTTCAAGTCACCTTTGGCATTGGAAAATGTTGCAGTTCAAGGTTAAAGCTTCAATTTGCAGCACATAGGATTTGTAGGCCGACAGGAATCCTTAAAAACACAGAAGTCATTGAAATATTGATAAACCTAGAACTACATGTACACTATGCCACTTCATTCATAACTCGGAGGTTATTTCTTGATCTTCACCAAGTTCAGAGATCGGACAAGTGTAGACACAGATGGCTTTGTTTAACTTGGTTTTAAATCAGATGAGTGTCATTGGAAGAAGTTTAATCTTAATCCTAGTCTTTCCAGAACTTTCCATAATTGAAGGTTTTCAAGAACTTTGAAGGAGGTTAGCATGGTAGCACTCAGCCACTGTGGAACTTGATCCCATCGGATTTCTGTGTTATGGTCAATATCCGGGGATTTCAAAGGTTCCAAGCAAATATTCTCAGGGTCTAGAGACGTTTTTGTGCACAGACTTTTACTGTTCACTGATAACCCACCTCATCTTTGTGTTTGCTGTATTCTTTCTTGCGGGCGTGGTCAAAAGTTCCATCAAGCTCAAGTTGAGCTGACAACATTCTGAGCAAAGAGAGACATTACTTAACCTGTTACCAGAAACCAACTCTTTAAATTCTGAGCAATGAAGTTAGATTTTTCCTGCTAGGCTCAGGTGACTGACATCCCCCAAATATTGCCTCTTATTAACAAACCAGCATATACAGTGATGCCTCTGATTATTCCTTTTTCCTCACCAATTTTTAATTTCAGCCATTTTAACATGTCCTGTTATCAGTTAAAATGTAACTTATTTTGAGTCTTCAATGTTTCTGGTTAATTTAGAGGCATTATTATTTCGTCTTTCCTGACGAGTCAAATATGAGGCCGGGGACTTTGTAACTGTTATGCAACAAGTATAGCATCAGTCCCAACTATAACATCAGTCCCAACTATAGCATCAGTCCCAACTATAGCATCAGTCCCAACTATAGCATCAGTCCCAACTATAGCATCAGTCCCAACTATAGCATCAGTCCCAACTATAGCATCAGTCCCAACTACATGTATAGCATCAGTCCCAACTCTAGCATCAGTCCCAACTGTAGCTGGGCCCATCCCAACATTCCAACTAGAGTGCTATCTGTATAGTGGAGCTGGCAAATAAATGTCCATCAGGACACATCACACAAGCCTGCGCATTGCATTGATCGTCCAAACATGTCATTCTCGATAAAACTTAGCTAGCCCATGCTATAGTTGGGCCAGCCCTATTACAGCACAGAGGTCCAGTGTGCATGTGCCCAGCATGTGCCAAAGTCATATTCATATAGTGTTAAAATGTCTTGTCACAGATGAAGTGCCATATTTTAGATGAATTGAGTCAAGCGTGAGATGCATAAACTTAGATAAGGTTAAGAAATTTTCCACAGAAATTGGTCAACAATATAGTTGGGCCAGCCCAACTGTATCACAACAGTTATAACCTATGACCATGAGGTAACGCTATAAGCATGAGGTTCTTTTCCATTCGGAACGGGGATTATGCATTGCTGGTGCCTTGGTGGCTGTTCTTGGTGATTTAATTTAGTTACGCTGAATGCACTGAGCCTATCCTATTTGAGTATTTCCTAGTCTTTGCCCTTCAATTCGGCCTTGTTGTCCATGCATGTTCAATGCTGACGACTACGACTGGAATTTATGTCATTTTCTGTCACTCACGTTCTGGTAGCAGGCAGGTAGGCCTAATCTGCCCTTCACTCGATGGCGTTCCTTGCCGAACGTAACTTCGTTTTAAGTCAACATCGTACACTTTCCAGGAAATAAACGTAGGGCCTAGTTAGTTTTCGACACGATCGATCAACCAATCTTGAGCGTCTGTAGCAACACGGTCTGGAGTCCGCCTCTACGTATTTCGTGATCACGTTCATGCTCTGAGATGCACACAGACTTTCAATCGCTTCCGTACTTAGTAGTCGGGCTTCCTAATTCGTGCACCGTTTGCGTTTATTTCAACGTCGTCTGAGTTCCTGACAGCTCAATGAAAAGAGTTGAACTCGTGTTGGCGCTGTTACTTTCTGCCGTGTTCTGCGCTGTTTGATCGCGGCTTTTGTGACTCGTTATCTAAACACTTCGCAGTTTCTTGGAAGGAGATATTGCGGCTCGCAGTAATGGCGCAAGATACACAGTCCAGGTTGTCACTGGAAGATGCGAAAGGTAAAAAAACCTTTAGAACTGTTTGTCATGTTTGTATCATTCTCTTCACATAACCATGGAGGTAGGCCACGTCTGACGCTAGAGGACGCTGTCATATTGTGTGCCAGTGCGGGGTGCAATTCAAGTCCCATTGATTGTAGAAAACAGTGTAAAATTGTTACTCCCCAACCGTAGCGTCAGTCCCAACAATAGTTGGGCCCATCCCAACTAGAGTGCTATAGTTGGGCCGGCCCAACTTCAACACAGAGGTCCAGTGTGCATGTGCCCACCATGTGCCAAAGTCATGTGGCTTACAATAATTATATACAATGCCATTTTCAAGATGTATTTTTTTTGCGTTGGGGAGATACAGTGTTTATTAATATACGTTGGGTAAGGGCAAAGCCGTTATATACAATGCCATGTTATGAAGTGCCATTTTCAGATGAATTGTGTCAAGTGTGAGATGTATAAACTTGGGTAAGGATGAGAAATTTTCTACTACTAAACAGTTGGGACTGTCCCAACTGAAGTTGGTACAGACGCTATAGTTGGGGCGTAACAAAATCAATCAAAGTTCGGAGCCCCAAAGTGGACAACTAAAGTCCCTGAGGCCTGTCAAACCAAAAACAATGTATTGTCAGGTCCTTCAGAAATGTCAGATTTCATTTATTTAATTTTCAAATTTACTCCTAGGCCTAGGTTAGGCTTAACGTGCCTGGTGTTCATTACCTTTAGCACCCTGTTCCTTGAATAAGGGGAACAAATTCTACTTTTTCGACACAACTTATCTAAACAAGTTGTTGATGTCCTGTGTCATATCAGAAAGAAAAAGAACAGGGCTTTGGTTTTTAAGGGAAAACCTAAAACTAGGCATATCAGGATTGAGTAATGGTTCGTTAAGGTCAAAATGTTAGTTAGAGAAAGTGCACTTTGTTTCTTTATTAAAGGAACAGGGTGCTAAAGGTAATGAACACCACATGCTTAACCAATTGTCCACCTAAAACAAACTCACCCCCCACCCAAAGAAGTGAATGTTCCCTAGTCTGTCAGCAGCCATTTTTTAGATGACATCCCTCAACTTTCTCAAGCTCATCTGGCAATTTTTTAATAAAAGTTTTGTCTGCTTTGCCCCCAGATGGGAGCCCTTGAATCTAAGCAGTTGATCCTTGGTCACATTTACACAATCCCACAATTGCTTGTGCCACACGAACATCTTTTCAAAAGAAACTGTAGGGTATTTTTTAAGCGCTTCAACCTGGCAACGATATGTTGGTCAAAGATCAATTTGCGCCGTGTAGCGGCACAAGATGGAGAACTTCTCCGCGAATATGTGTAAAAAGCAAGTCGCCAGGGTGCCATTTGAGCATGTTGAGCAAGCAAAGTGTGGACAAAGTATCCAGATGTAAGCCATAACATTAGGAGGGACATCCATCCCTGGCGTGCATGCCTGGTGCCTGCACCTTTGCATTAACATGTACTGCGCAGGCCTGCGTATTCTTTGCTTGAATGGCACCCATGGTGATTACACTTTTTGGCAGAGTTCCCCACCTTGCGCCGCTATGCGGTGCTCCGTGATCTTTGATGTTGGGCGCAATCGGTAGATCTACACAATCGGTCGCCCAATCTCCGTCACTTCCGTTTTTGAAATAATCTTCCACAACAGTAAATCACAAAGAAAGGGCAATTGGCTGATAGTGCAGTTATGGACAAATCTTGCAGTAAGATGGACCGATCACGCAAAAATGGGGCAATTGCACATATTGAAAGACTGCACCCAACAGTAACACAATATGGGCTAGTTAAAAGAAAGTCTTATTCACAAAGTTTTCTTTCTTTTTTTACATTACATTTTTGCTCCAGCATGTGAATGACATGTACATGTAGGTGTACAGTAACGACATGTATTTTGTTTTGTGTAGGCCTACTGCCGTAACTAGACTCGATAACTGGTGAAGGGGACCTTTATATAACGGGGAAAAGAGTTCCCTATGGGGACATCTTTAGACACCTTACGAGTCTGGTCTGCAAAACTATGTTTTCTCAGTGAATAGTTCAGTGCTAACTTTGTTTTTGAGGAAATCGTATCACTCTCTGATGGCTAATAAACGACAGTACTGCAACAAGTGCATATAAACTCTTACCGAGAGGGCTACAACTGACACAGTTAATTGGTCAGTCAAGCTGGAAACTCCAGCTCTTAGGCTCATTGCATGGGGAAATTCATCACTTGAAGCTGGGATGACGTATAAGACATACGTGTCACCAATGGTTGGAACTTTTAGACTGATTATTTAACGTCATCTCAAACACACTGAACAAAAATGGCACGTTCATTCCTGGAGCAGACAATGCACTTCAAATGCACCACACAAGGCACTGGATAAAAAGAGATTACCTTGACCTGTATTTGGAGGTCTCTAAGACTTTCTAGAACATTCATCAGAATGTGTACAAATCAATGCTGCAAGCTGTTCTTTCCAATTTCCTTTTGGTAAGGTTGAAGGTTTTCATCAGGAACCCAGGGTAAGCTTCTAAACACAAACCACTATTGACTTCAAAACCTGAGGTTGTAATTGGCCTCCTCAGGGTGAAAACTTAGAAAGCATCTCTTGAACATCTCTTTAAATTTTAGAGGTTCTTGGCCCCTCAGGACTTGTCACTTTAAACCTTCTTGGTGAAATCATTGGATTGGATGACATGGAGGTATATCTTATGTCGAAGTGCTGAGTTTTCAACAATCACTGCGTACATGTATCAGGTAACACAACATGTCAAAGCAACTCTTGTTTTGCCCTCTCCAGCCGTCCTGCAGAAGGTCTTGGAAGCGTTTCTGACCCCGGAGAACAAGACTCGTATGGAGGAGGTAAAGGATGCGGCGGGCAATGACATGATGAAGATGATGCAGGTCGTGTTTCCCGTGGCAACGCAAATCCAGATGGAAGTGATACAGAAATACGGCTTCTCAGCAGATGGTGAAGGTAGGTTTAAACTTTCACTTGATAAAAATGTCATCAGGCCATGTTAGAAATGAATTGTGTTTCCTTTGATACTGAAATACATATGTAAGATACATGTAAGATGAACTTCACTAATATAAAATACAAACTGAATGGTGAATATTATGGCTTGAAATATACATGCACTGGTGAAGAGTGAGAGGACCCTCTTTTGATTCTAAAAAAGTTAAGTGGAAAAATTGTTATCAGTGGGATGATGGTTAATTTTTTTTTTCAATAAGTGATTAACAAATATTATACTATACAGTACATGCTTAAAGCGGCTCTGTATGTTCATTGGTTGAGTGGTTAAAGACTGGCTGAATTTCGAAGCAGAGGTGTGGGGTACAAATGCACAAGAGCCAGCCACTGTCTTCAAGCAGAATGGCTTGGAACTGATATTAAAACTGTAAAAAGTACAGGAAAGTATTTTCTGATTTTCAAATAGAAAAATATATGACTTTGCAAGGTTGGGTTAGGTAACCTAACCTGTTTTTGTGTGGCCTCATCCCACGCACTAGATGGTACTTTTGTACCTTGAACTGTTGCCAGGGCAAATTTGGTGGATTTACTATTTACATTTGAAAGGCACAACCAGAGCAATTGCTTTAAATGTCAACAGAAATTATAGGCTTTAGAAAAACAGGAAGGGTAGACCTTATTAACTTTTTGTTTTATTTTTTTCTTTATGAAGAGAAATATTCAATATCAAATGATCATCAAACTATAAACGACCACAATATCAAACTGATGCATGTTTTGGAATTATGGTCAATTAAATTGTCATTGGCAGGAGGTTTTTAGGTCTTCTAAAACTCAACCAGTGCTCTTTTCATTTTGATCGAGCCTCATCACATCTAAGGCATTTTGTTAATTTCAATATTCGCATGTTGCAGTCATCCGGACCCGTTTCCACCTTGTGCAGTTTGCAGAATCAATTCCCATAAGAGCATTTTTGGCCCCCCCCCATATCCCACACCTAGTACCTCCGGAACTTGACATTCTTTCATTTCACCACCATGCCACAACCATAATTGCCCTGGACTCTATGGCCACGTGTATCCTCCACCAGATAATTAGGGAGAGGTGTCTTTTAACATCCATCTGCCAAACCCCCTTTTTTAAACACAAGTGTCCGTTTAATATGCCATCAAAAAGTTCCTGTGCACCTCGGAGAGGACTGGGAAAACTAAGAGCTTAGCAAAAGGAGATGACATTTTACACTCTTTGTGAAACTTCCGAAGAAGTTTATTTGTCCATTTCTATCACAAGTAGTAAATGACACAAGGCACGTTTAATATGCTCCTCAAGTCCTTCGAGTCCGGTCGTTTGCCAGAACCTGACATATTAGCCGGTGTGCGCCGTTCATTGGGAACTGCATTATTTGTACTCTTGCAGTTGACTCCATAAGCCGTTAACCTCAAATGAACCCATTTGCTTTTTAACTGGCAACCTGAGCTTCCTCCCGTGCAGGTAGTGCTAACAGGTCTGTCCACAAGTAGATCCGCACAGAATGCATGTACATTGCATACTAGGAATAAAGCAACCTGGAGCTTTAGCAGGATGTCCACAAACATAAATGGTTTTAGCAAGTGCATCAGGGATGCATATCCTCCAGGCTTTCTTTGCAATAAACAGTCTAACCTTGTTAATAAGAGCACCATTAATACAAGATTCTGCTCATAACAAGGACATTTTAGGTCCCAATCTGTACTTTTTTCATTGTTTGTATTCCTGATAATACAGGGTTCCTGTTATAACAAGGTAATCTGACAAATCCCAAGGACCTCTCATTAACAAGGTGCCATACATATACGAATCTGTGAACTTCCTATACACCTGAACTCTCAGGTCAAAATGGTAGAGTCGACTTACAATGAACAGGCACATCCCCTGTGCAATAGACTGGATGCCTGTCCTCATATGCATATATAGAGGACAGGTATAATATCCCCAAGGTACTGAAATCATAGTTATTTCTGTACAACCTTCTCTTAGCCATGCTCTTATCAGTTTCGTGTCCTGCTGCGCAGAACACGTGAATACCTCTGTGTGCCTTCTGTGTTAAACGTCACGATAGTGACCAAGTGGTAGCAGAACAATACATTTTAGTCATAGTTCGGCCTTCTTGAAATTGGATGTGAGGCTAATCTTCATTTTTGAATGTTGAGAGTAGCAACAGAAACAATAAAATAAAATTTCACTGCAGATCGGGTTGGGTCAGATCAGGTTGATTCGGGTCAGATTGGTTCGGGCAGCTAAGTTGGGTTGGATGTTGCCGTTACTGGAGTAATAGACAAATCCACTGACGTTTCAATGGAGTACTCCTGATGGCCCCCATGAAGGGCGGTTAGCCTTGCGCTGGCTTTTGTAGGAGTGACTGGCACGAAACGGTGGTTTCATACAATAGCTGCCACAATGCTTACCACCATTAAAGGGGGCCACTGTAAATAACCAGTGATGGTGTTAGAATGGTCACCTGAGTTGTCTATAGTCGTGGTAGGTGTTTTCCTCAAGTAAATCACCAGCATCATTTCTGATACTTCTGGTGGTTCTCAATTCTTTCTTTCTCAGGTGCAGTAAAGTTTGCCCAGCTCATCCGACATTACGAGACAATGGACAGCACCGTAGCTGACCTCTCCGCCCAACTCAAGGCCATATTTTTGCCCCCATTGCCGCCCCCTGTGCCCACACAAAGCCAAGCGTCGGTAGCATCTTCCTCGTGATCATTACAAAGAAATCGAAAGGCAACCCTATCCTGCCGAATGACCAAAAAGGCTGTCCGCGGTTTCTGGTAGCAGCCTGTCCAAAAAATGGCTTTCCGGATCAGATTGTCAGGGTTTACCAAATTGGCATTTGAATGCCATTGAGAAACTGGGGTGTATGTTCAGGACCACTAGCCCTTTGTAGTTTCAGTGTGGAAATTTTCACATATATCTAAGCATTCTAAGCCCTGATGAGAGCCTGCTAGGGCTCAACTTTCAGTTCCTTTGTTGACGTTGGCACTCGTCTGTTATTTTAATTTTCTGAATAACTTTTGTGCAACTCGCAGCTCCTCAAATACTTGCCAATTTATGCAAGACCACCCTTTTTAACTAGCAGGTGGAGTTTCGAATCTGGGAGGATATTGGAAATCCCAGAAAGTGCAATTTTGGGAAATATTTAGTATAGTTACTTTGTTGCACGGGGGTCAATTGTGATTTAAAAGCATTCCCCCCTAAAAGAAACAAATTACAAAAGTTAAAACCTGAGTACTTTGAAGCATAATGTATGCAAACATATTCACAAATATGCACACTAGTGGCTTAAAATATGTGAATACATTTGTATTTAAACTTCAAAGGAAAATTATAGCAAATTTAGGATAATTAACTGGACTCTAATTGGTATTTAATCAACTGTGAGAAGCAGTGTCCAAGTATAGTTTTTACTTCCGGTGTTCGTCGTCCCAAACGGCAAGTCTTTCTATGCATTTTTTCAAACGTTTAAAGAACACTGCATTTCGCACTTTTTATAACTTCTCTTTGGGGCTGTTGGGTCCGGTTTGTTTTATTTTGAGATTTTCAAAATGTTTTATTGTCAAAATGAAAAACTGTTAATAGTATTCTCCGATTTCACTTGATCCAAAGTTACCACGTGGATATTGCATGTGTCCAATATACAAATGTAAACGGAGTCACCTCATCTGGAGTGAGTTTTTCCTCGTTCGTGAGTTTTGAATTAATACATGTTGTAGATTTTACAATAAATCTCAAAGGTGATAATGATGTTCAGCTTTTATAGAAATGTGCAGTGTGGTGTGAAACTCCACATCAGCTCGATGTTGCCTGAGAATTGTCTGGGTAAATGAAGATAGTACAGTGAATATTGTATTTTTCTCGTAACAGATTGTAGGCAAATTTGCCGTGCCAGCAGTGGTATAACTTAGGGGGAAGGGAGCAGGCCCTCCCCCGCACGAGGCCCGCCCCCTCCCGCGCAGATATTAGACAAAGGAAAAGATCTGTTGGTAGTCCGTCTTTATCAGTGTTTTAACTGTGACTGAACCCACTGAATGCCCCGTCTAGAAATTGAATGCCCACAAGTGTCCCCCTGCAAGATGTACCCCGGTTACGCCACTCCTTTCCAGACTTTGGTCAAGTCCGATAGAGCTGTACGGTTTAACGTCTATTGTCAGTGTGTCCCGCGTATTTCTAATACGCGAGAACCCAGACATACTCAGATAGCAGATTCAGCCGTAGCCCGAGGCGTAATAGAAGCATAAAGTTAGCTCTCCCAGTAAGTGTCATCTGGAGACGTCATGATGAAGTAGAAAAATCCACCAGCCGTCGGGTCACACTTGCCACAAAAGGATGTCGACCCACGCGCACAGCTAAGATGAGCGGGTCCATTCGGAGTACAACATTATTTTGTAATCTGTCCGGCGAGGATTTCATTAGACCTTATCCTCTGAGTGCCTCGCTTGAGTCAGAGTTAAGACCCATTTAGCGTTTCCGTGGGCCACATGTCATCCTCTGAAATATTGATGGATCTGGATGTTTTCCCTTCTCTTAAAAAAGACACAGCGCGCTTTATCCTCATGTTTTTATAAGCCTTCAATCAATCAATCAATTACTTATTTACAAATGTTAACTCGTACGTGATGTCGTTATTTTTTTCATTTTATTCTTTTTTTGTGTGTCAGAGCAGCAGATTGACCCCCGCCCCCGGTCCCCTTTTGAAATCACCAGCAGCGGATCTGGGGGGCCGTGGGGGCTCACGGTCCGCTTTTTTCACCAAAAAAATTAATCAATAGAGAGAGAGGAAAAACAAGTGGGGGAAGAAAAAAAGGGGCAAAGTCAGACCCATAAATGTGACAAAGGTGTAAAAAAAATACCTATGCTCCCGGTTTGTACCCAACCTCCCTTTTACGGCCGCGACCCCAAAGATTTTATGGCCCGCTCTAGGGCCCCAGAAGATTTTGGAATACAGGTGCTCTGTGTGGGGTGATCTGAGACAATTTTTGGCTATACTTTAGCTATTTTTTTAACAAATGCTTTGGCAAGCTATACATTTTCATTTAGGTTTTGGGAAAAGTGGAGGGGGGGGGCAACTGATATAGTATCCCCCCACGTGGAAAAGTGGGGGGGGGGACAAGGCCCCCCATTGACGCCCATGATCACAAATGGTGGACACGAATTTTTAAGTATAAGACACAAAAAAATTGCCTTTCTTGCCGACTTGCGTGGTAGCTCTGTTAGAAGAGCATAATGGAGGGATCCCAATACGACGCTTTTAGAGTCGACCTGCGCACTGCCGCGTTTGAAAACGAGGCTGGAGGGCCTATGTGTCGGCTTCAATTTTTAATACGATCAGACGATTGGAAGTAAGGACTCAAAACACAAAATGCATAAAGGTATGTTAAATTCAGACTTTTCAGGCTGAAAATTTTTGTGGATGACTCGACACGTAAAGTCAAAAGAAAAAATAACGACAATTGACCGCGAACTAACGTACTTGCGATGGTCGTGTATCTTGTGCAGTGGGCGTGGTTTAAACTGAAGTGGCGTCACACTTACGAACCGGAGACTCCATGTATTTTGTGGACTCCGCGGGCGCGCGCGCGACGAAGTTCAACACAGAGAGCCTCGGTTTCGATGCAGATATGCGCAGACGGCGCTAATGTGAAATCCCTCTATACGTAGATCCAACAAGCCGAGGGTTCGAGTCTACATGTAGTTTTTTTTTTTATTTGGTTGGAGGATGTTTTTATAATAGGAAAGTAAAGCCCGACGTTTACCTTAGCACTTAAGTTTCTCAGTGTCCATTTGCTGTTAACCACGACCGTATATGTTAATTACCCCTAACCTTCCTAGGAAAAAGCATACGCCCCCTCCCTGCTGTAGATGTGTTCTTGAATAGACGTCTAATATTCAGAAGTTAAAGGCTTGGTGCAGGTGCAATGCGCGGCTTAGCGTTAATTTGAACAGAAAACCCCCTCCTTAAAACGGCATTGTGTGGGACAGAACGAAGCACACGTGTACACCAATTCTTGATATCCGAGTCAATACGGGCGCGCCTCCAAGAGTTTGCAACGCGTTGGCTAATCACAATGCGCAAAATCTGTCGACCCTTTCCAAACGCGCATTGGGTCAGCAGATAGGGTCACTCGAAAGGAATTTTAATATTGAGTTGCCGATGCATGACTCTTGAATTTTCGTATTGTTGGTAGCTTTGTCGCTCTAAATAGAAGGTGAATCCTTCAATAAGATGATCTTGAATTATTTGTGGAAAGCTTGAAATCGTTTATTCAGACTAGAATGGCGCTTATAACCTTTGTGGGCCTGTTTATGTATTAAATTCATCACCTTTTAAGTTTTCTCCTCTTTGCAACATATTCTCTCAAACTCAATCCCACGACGCGTTCACATTGCCACTCCGCTAATTATGACATACAGCATCTGCCTTTATAATCTCATTACCAAGCTGGTTTCCGCTCTCCTAGGTAAGTCATCCTGCCAACGCCATTTTCGCCTTCCCGTGAGAACAGGCCCTTCTTTGCTCCTTGTCACTCGATTTCACCACTCTTCTTCATCCGCCACCATCCGTGTAATTTTTTTATCTAACCATCCAACCACTTTTCTCTATAGTAGCTTATACCACCGTTGAATTCCCGCTGTGAAAGTCAGAGATGGAGTTCTACACAGAGCGCTAATGAGCACAGAAGTATCATTTGTGCCTATAGAAATTAGTGTACAGTTGCAAGAAAGCTGACGCGAAAGCATATTCATGTAAAGCATAACATGTGTTTGGCTTATGTCGCTGGTGAATAGTTTCGGTGCTTCTTGCATATTGAGTGCTTGGTACAAACCATGAAACGCCCCCGGTCCATGGTGTCGCCAGGATTTTTCTAGGGGGATAGCAAAGCACGTTTTCCTGGATGGTGGAAGCACTCCAGCAAGGAACTGATAAACGATTAACAGTAGATCGAAGGGGTCAATCTCGGTATTTTTTCAAGCAAATTAATTGGTGATATTCATCCCCGTGTCATCTCTTTGGCTTTTGAGTTTTCAACGTTTCCCCCTTTTTTGACATTTTCTTTGGGGAGCAGCACCCACTCTCCGTGCCCTGCCTGGGCCAAATGCCATGGAGGTACCAAGCAGGAAATGTTGCTGAGCTAATTTCTTGTTCTGAGCAAAATGAGCCACCACAAGTAAGACACTTTGCATGGCATTTTGGCTGGTAACCTATTCTTGCTAAGCATTTTTTTGTGCTTAGCAGCTTCTTGGCTCCTGAAGTCTCTTCAATGATCGAACTCTTCGTACTAATAATAAACTGTACAATGTCATGTCGTCACCGTTTTCACGAAGAGACACTTTGGCCCCAAATCATGAGTTTTTCAAATTTCTGTTTTTTGGCAAAATTAAATAAGCTATGCAATTCCTACAACTTGGTGTAATCATTTTCCCCAAGTCTATTGAAATCAGCCAAATCACGAGGATCTACCCGGGGCAAATTTTTAACTAAACCGCATTTTGCGTTTTCACGAAGAGGCAAATTTTCCTTCCAAATATATAGCGTTAGCATTTAAGGGCAAATTCATGGGCAAACTCGTTTCGCCGTTTTCACGAAGAGACGAATTTTACTCTGGAAATGTACACAAAATTATAACAATTTTGCGCCTGGCACGCGCTTTACGGCATTTTGCGTTTTCACAAATAGACAAAAATCGCATGAATTTTAGCGTTTTTACGAAGAGACGAATTTGTTTGTTTACAAAATAAACAACTTTAATTGACTTATATAAATATTGTTCGGCGATTTTGAGGCATTTAAGATCCACTCTTTCATGTAGTAGCATTGGGAAATAAGCGTTTAAAATAGAGACCAACTTCAAATGCGATTTAAGTTCTCGAAAAATCTTTTTCTAGTGATATCAAAAATTCGTCCTTTCATGAAAAGACCGACGACGTATTCACACATCAAGCCAAGTCATCCATTCCATCTGATTCCCATGCCATTTAGTCCACATCAGTGCCTAGTTCCGCTCAAATCCATCATACCACCTCATCTCATTTCCCACCTGTACAAAATTCGTCTTGACATGAAGATTAAACTATCGATCTCCTAGTTACCTTCATTTCATGCTCCACTCATTTATCTGCTGTCCCGGCAAGTTACCACTACACTTGATTCACCTTTTATCCGTCTTTCCCTTGTTCTTTTCTGCAATTCCTTCCTTCAATACAATTATTATATATTTTGGTTGAGTAGAAATTAATTATACATACACTACAATAATCAGCATAATGCGTAATTAATGAGTAAGGTGTAGTGTGCGGTAAAAGCCGTTTGCGCCACTCGTGTTCAGTTCTTTGAAATTTAGATTCAAAAATACCAAAATTTATAACAACAACCTTAGAGTCAATATTGGACAATACCAGTCAGTGTAGATCCCAAGGATTAGATGAACACCAGCACAACACGGAACATGGAGCTTCTTTGATTGTATAACAGTACTTTAGCCCCTGAATGCAATTAGTTATTCTGTTGCAGTCTCTACCTTGTAATGTTGAAGCTAATTCGGGAGTAATTGAATGATGATAAGCAGATTCGAAATGTTTATCTTGTAATAATTATGAAAGTGTAAAGGGCCAGTTTGTACTTGACGCGAAAGCGAACACAAACGCGAATATGTGACGTCGGATCAAAAGTTTGTATATTCGTGCTGCGAATTCGCAAACGTTGAGCACCTCTCAACGTCGAGCGAAATTTTGCTACAAAGTTTTCGTGATGTCAAAGTCGTTGCGCTTTCACATTTGCCTGAACTGTATGACCTGTCCTTAAACCACGGACTGTGAATGTAATTTTTCCCATTTCAATCAGTAAAATGTTGTAGATTTGTAGAGGTTTCAAATCTAATTACGAGAACGCGTATCCAGAGTTTTGTCTGTGTCCGATCGTCTCCGACGACGGGTTGACGGTTATTTGTTCCAAGTTGATCACTGTGGGTTGTCTTTTCTGTCTCGAATCGACGGTTATCGCGCAGACACTGAAGCAAACCCGACGGCAGAATCTTGCCAACACCTTCCTGATTCCCCGTCGGAACTCCTTGTAGCGATAGGCGTATATGATAGGGTTGACGGCGGAATTGCTGAAGGCCAGTGTGTTGAGAGCTGCTTCGACTAAGGGTGAGCGAAGCAACTCCGAACCAGCCGGCCTGACGGAGTTGCGGTGGTGCATGACAAAGTTGAAGACGTAGGCGGGCAACCAACACAGGACAAAAACACCCACCACGATGGCCGTCGTCGTGATGGCCTTCATGTCCCCAACGGAGAAAATCTTCTGCGATTTGACCACTACACTGCTTTGGCCATCTCCCTTTCGAGACGCAGACTCAACGGACCGGCTCACCGGTGCAGCTGAAAGCGCTGCGATGCGTCGAACGTGCCGTCGAGCCGCCAGCGTGATCTTTGTGTATATGACCGCCATCGCAAAGAGCGGAACAGCAAACGTCAAAATGAACGAGAACAAGACATAGCTGAAAGGAAGCACCTGGTCGATGTAGCAGAACTCCAGTTTGCGTGCTGGTTTCCTCCAGCCCAAGTATGGCGTCAGCCCCACGCCGATAGCTAGGCACCAGGTCAGAGCAACTGCAATGGTAGTCCGACGCTGGGTCATGTGACTGTGGTACAACAGCGGGTACATGACGGCCACGAAACGGTCGCCCGCGATGCCCAGCACGTGCAACATGGAGATTCCGCACGACACGTGCAGGAAAGACGTAATGACCAAGCAGACGTAGAAACTGGACTTCAGGCTGTCGATGAAGATGCCGAGGTAGAACACGGGTACGAGTGAGACGCCTACCAGGCAATCCGACACGGCTAGGCTCACGACAAACATGTTGGTGGCCTTCTGTAGTACCACTGACGCGTTGGAATTACAGACGGCGAAAACAACCACACTATTCCCGGTGACAATGAAGAGCGACAGAGGCAACAATATCGCAAAGACGTACACCACGAAGAAGGTAAGATCAGGGTCGTCTTCAGTGGAACCTGACAGAGTGTGATTCTGTACAGACAGGATCTCCGAGTTCGCAGTAGATACACCGCAGGGCATAGCCCTCTCGTCAAGACGCACTGTCGTATAAACGCATTCCGTCTCCATTTCGAGGTATTCACGACTGTCGTTCCCACAATAGATGGTTTCAGAATATTTCAATCTACCAAACGGCCACGTTTGTTGCATAAGCGATATTCGTGCTGCCCCGTGCTTTGTTCTGACGTTCTGCTTCAATCCCAATTCAGTTTTAATGTACCTGAGAGAAATGAACACATCTCCCTGTCAGAGCTCCAAATAAGAGATTAGCAACGCACAAAAAATGTCGTGTGTCGAAGTGCCGTGTGTCAAGATGTTGAGAGTATGTTCTTCACTCAGACAACACCCGAAACTCGCAGTCTTGAGAGGGAAATGATAAGAAGTGGTTTCCAAATGCGGACAAGACTTCAGCCCTTCAAAATGTTGGAAGAATCTTCATCACAGTTAGCGTCTTGTTGCAATTGCAAGAAAAGGAGTTGGTCCAAAAAAGCTACGGTTGAATTCAGGAGAAAATAACTCACCTGGCCCGCGCACAGCGAATGCTTCTCCTTCAGTGTGAAGCATGACATGCGTCAGTTCAGTGCATGCGCACGGCCGATGGGCGAGATGCTGACGGTGATAATAATGCAAATGTGTTTTCGCTGAGCGACAGTTACTAAAACACCGCTTTCTGTGTCGTCTCGGATGCTTTATTATCTCTGGTGCTTGTACGTAGCGTGGAAAAGCATCCGGTTGTTTGCACAACTTCGTGGCGTTACGTATTCATATGCGTCACGTGATGTGCTGCATAATTTATGAATACGATGAATACGTTTTCTGATAAAAATACTTCGCTTGCGACGTTTCTGAGTGGCGTTTGTATAAGCCGCACTTTGCTGATGGTGTCGTGGGCAGCCTTGCATGCATGCTGTTCTGGGAAGCCAATCCGTGCAGAACTGGGTTGTGTGCTCATGACAGTAAAGTTATAGTTTGATATTGGACATGGGACACTCCCATAGATTTGTGCAGCGAATGTCTGATTTTTCTCGATAATGGAATTCTGTACAAACCTGTACAAACCTATGGGAATGTCCAATCAAACTAACTTTACTGTCATTGTGTGCTCTACGTTTTCTGAGTGGTTGAGGGGTCGGTAAGAGCTAGCTGTAAGCGCATGCGGGTTAGGTCGGTCCGTGCACTTCGATACACGAACTCTTTTTAAGGGCCAAAAATGAGAAAACTGAAGGCTATAGGGGTAGATTAGGCAAAACACGCAAGCCAAGCTTTTTGACACTAACTGCTGGCTGAAGTCTCATTGGTATAGGAGCCATCACAGCGTGCATACAGCGTTTCCTAACATACAAGGGAGGCGGCCAATTAAGGCTTCGAACGCCCCCGTGACGTCACTATGACCTTCCTGATTTCATAATCTGAAAAAACTTTTGAGTTCTAAACGTTTATCCCGTTTTATTTTGAACTCTGCGTATACTTGCATCTCTGTCATTGAGGATATTTCATTTTCCCCTTAAATGCATACACGACATGTACGATTACAATGTCTTGTCAACTTTACCATGGGGGCCACCCGTAGCTATGCGTTTATCCGAGTGTGACGAGCGAGGGTCTTGTCCTGTTCCTAATGCAGAAAGGCAAGGATGTTTGCTCTCAAGCGGGCGACATCGTTTTCTTTTCTAGGTTGGTTCAAAATTGTCATGATTTGCCCTTCTAAAGGAATAAACGGTCGAGGTGCACCCTGCTTAATGTATATAGGCAGCTAATAAACCAGTGGCTTATGCTTTCCCCCAGAGTGTTCGAGTATCAATTAGGCCAAGATCAAATGCCGTACATTTCCACATTTTAGTTCCAGAATATCTCTGACGGATTAATATAAATGTCGACTGCTACTTAGCTGCTTGAAAACATTGAGAGATTAATGTTGGACAATTTTGGTCATTTGGGACCAAATTAATATGACAAATGGTCGTTAAAATATTATGGGATCGTTGAGTGCCGTCGTTAAGAAGCATTTCAATCAGCGAAAGCGTCCGCAGACCACCATTCGTGAACAGACTAACAGCTGAAAATGTGTGTAATGATGGAAGCACTAATTAAATCTTTTTGCCAATATTCCGTTTCACTTATAATAATACTTTAAGACGCGAGTCATAATAAAAAACAAGAATGTTTTACCTCCAAACAGTGTCGTAGCCAGGCTCTTCGGCGGGGGGGGGGAGTTCCCCCTTTCCACCGGCTATGCCACTGCCTTTACGGCCCTTTCGAGAGCTTTGGTATAATTGGTGTATGTCCACGCAGGCAGAGGTTTACTCCGCATAACGAGTTCGGCTTTTTAAAATGCTCTAAATCACGTCTTTTCATATTGTTGCATCGAAGATTTTGAAACAATTAAATACAAGAACCTAATTTCGAAGCTTACCCGAAAAGGATAATTTTTGGGTGTCTCTGCCACGAACATCAGTTTGTTCGACTATGACCATGAATGTCAGCGAGCTAGTATTCGCCAACCAGAATCGAAAGCCCACGCACCCCACGCCGACCAATCACGTTTATTTTTCAGCCTGATGATGGATGCTCTGTGACAAAAGCCATTTTAAGACTTTTTTACACTGCATGGATCCATCTGTGACTTGTCATCTGATCCCTGATGATGGGGTGAAACTGTAAGAATAGGTCTATTCCCTGTTCCATTCCAAACAAGGAAACGCCACTTATACAATTACTCACACACGAATGAATAAAAATGTAGTCATTCATTATTCTTCAAATTTCAGAGAGTTTTTTTTCAGTAGGCCTATGATTTTTACGACACACTCCACAAAAACTAAGGATTATTTAAGACCAAGCGGCCATTTCTTGTTAGAGGTAAATCTTATATGCACTTAAATGATTACCCAGCAAAATTACCCACAGACCGGGGGGGGGAATCAGTAATCTGATATTTCCATTGATGGTGTGCATTTCTCAAAGCAGAATCTCTTCCCAGCTGATGACCTGTCCTATTCTAGCTTATCGAGATATTTCCATTTCGTCATTCTGATGAATAATAGGAGGTCAGTGTTATTTTGTGGTGTGATATTTACAGATTGCTGTGGAAACACCGATTTATACAAAACAAATATGCGGATGATCTTCCCGTACCGCTGTTTTTTAATTTGCAAAATTCATGAATTCCGAGCAAATCTCTTCAGATTAGTTGGTATCTGCAAGATCCAGACCATCGAACCGCTCCAGGGCAGGTGACTTGCATTTGGCTATAGCGGAGTTTTGAACTACACTCTCACACAGCAATGAATTAATTCACATGAACATAAATTCGCTCAGTGCTTCGCACGATGGATGCGTTCAATCCATATCTATAAACCCAGCTCTATTTCATTTTTAATGACCTTTCTTAAGAGCGGAGAAAGTCTTCCCATTATTTAAAAAAAAAGTCCACAAAGAAAAGGGAAAAAGTGGCTTGAAACTGCCAACTGCCACATCTTCACTTTATAATTATGAAGTAAACACCCTTTAAGAATGACTTTATGAGGCTATAATCCTGGTGGTGCACTCAGGTTTAAGGGTGCCAGAGTTGGGCTGACCATCTCGGACAAAGACTGACCGAGTGGCCTATCCATTTGGCGATTCCCATACAGCCCCGGCATTAGTTTTGCGCATCTGTGTTTTGCTGCATAATGTGGCAGGGGGTGACTGGGGACTGTCCGTCACGCTGTTCACGTCACCGTGTTGCTCCTCTTGTGCTTCAACTTCTTCTTTCCCCCACTCTTCTTCTTCTTCTTGGCCGGACCCTTGGCCGCTACTTTGGCTTCGGCCTCTGCCTGAATGGCCATCCTTTCGTTGGCTATCGCTGCAAGACAGGTATCCATAGAAAAAAAAATGATGAGGCCTGAAAATGTTCCATTCTCAGCGTCAAAGAGCACAACCGTACTTTAACACGGCGCTGACACGTTAAGTCAGCAGTCCTGATGTACATGTACATGTATTTTTATTCACTTCGAACATGCCAAATTTCTTGGAAAACCAGTCCCAGCCGTTTATGTTGTATCAGCAACCCAATGTGATTGTTGTAACAATAATTAAACATTCACATGTCAGATTGGTCTACGGTCATCCGATCTCAATTTTTTGCGCTAATGCAGTTCCTTTATTTCCACTTCAAGACACAATATCGACACATTATTTAATTCCAGGCAAATTGAGAACCAACACATTCATGTTTCTTTAATTTGCCCATAACAGAAAAAGATGTTCATCAAAAATGTACAAACATAAAAAAGTGTAGTGTCCAAGATGCTGCATAGATAAATTCTATATCTACGAATTCCTGCTTCCTGAAGCATGTGAGCTACAACAAATGTATTAATATACCCTTCCAGTCCAGCCACCACTAGTTTTTTTTTCCCCATTTTCTTCTCTTTTTGTCCCCAGAGTGAATGTGTCAACAAAATTTGCTCCTTCTCGTAGTTGCATTTCCTCTCCTGGCTTAGCTTTCCGTCCATCTTGTCATTCCCCCGGGAGCTATGAGCTAAAAGCACACATCCAGACGGACAGCTGATGAGTACGGACCTAAGGAGACCACGTCGATCTTTTTCACAGGTAGGATTTAATGGACTCTTGTCATAATCCTGGTCCGCTTCTAACCTTGCCCATGGCTCGATAACCCAACCCGAACCTTCCTGACCCCCCCCCAAAAAAAACACACTTTGCAGGAAATTAAGCCAGTGACTTTCTGTAACTTGTAAATATATCTTCCACGAAGCAAGAGGATTTCTCATGCTCAGTGTGCAGCTCCATGTACCGATCGCTTCAGTTTTGCAATAAATTCTGAACCCATTAGGAAGATTGTGACTGACCAGTAACTGAGGGGAAATTAAGATAATCCATCCAAGATTCAAAGACATAACTTGGAGATCTGGTCCCCTGACTTAACAGCACAGTTGTGTCTGCGCCTTTGAGCTGACAGGGACAACTTTTGAAATAATGCACTAAATTCTTGACTTCACAAAACAAATCAATAACACAACATCTGATCGCAAGCGTATCACTCCTATATGTAAATCCTAGTTAATGCAGAAAAAAATTACATATTTTGAGTTTTAAGAACACAATGAATATTACTGTGAGACCACAAAGTGTGGTAGGCTTTTTTTGGTTTTTTTATTATTTTTTATATCAAAACCTTTTTCTATGAATCCTTCATGGCAGAATTCCATTTGATGCAATTTATATTCCAACTGAATACAGACATTAAAAACAAATTTCAACAGCAAACATGTCATTTGGATGATGAGGGGGCTCTTTTGTCTTGAGAGCGAGTCTCGGTAACAGTGCAATTAAGGAGTTGTGCACCTGCAACTGCATTTATTCCTAGTACCTACAATCTTTGTAAATGGCGATGCTATAACGAGAATAAGACCAATGAAAGACTCAGCAGTGGGCCATTTGTCGTAAACGGCCGACGGTAAGTGTCTCCTGCATGGCAACGGGGAGGCTATATGAGGAGGGAAATGCGCCATTTGAATGGACTCAAATCTCCAGGGGCTCTTTTCATTTGGTACAGGTCAATTTTTCTCCACGGAGATGCAACTGGAACTGCGACACCATTGATCCCTACTTGGTAAACAAAGAATTTTGACTTGGTTTCCTGCCACAGAACCTCTGCATTGGCGGAAGTCTAATTTGATTTAAGGACTGCTCTTTTCTATTGGTCAGATGTTATCCATTTTCTTAAATACTCTTTGGCTTGCTACAAAATGCAAATTGACCTACGCAAAGTATAGATGATTTCAACAGTGGCACTGTTGGATGCTGCAGCCTGTTGAAGTTTATTCAGTTAGGATATTTGATATCTAGTGTTATCTATTCCTGTCTCTTTTACAAATTACACCGTTTTGGAAGCAGATAATTTCATTTCTAGTTTTTAATTTCGAACCCCAAAACTTCCAAATTCTGATTTGTTTCTTTCTCTATTATGTCAGAGATGTCCTTATTTTTGAATACTGATTCGCTTACTAAAATGCTTGCATAACATGCGCCTGTAATGGTTGATTGTAACATGCATCTTTTGAAATAAGAGCCATTTTATCCACAGAAAAATAACAGCAACCTGTTTATGAATGCCTTATCTTTCTTTAAATGAGCCGGTCCTAAACGTGCGTTTAAGACCGATTCAGGAGAATGGACGTGACTAATGCCCGAGCCGCTGCACAGATTCATTCCAATTCATAAATACCTTTTTAGTCCGAGTTAAAAGAAGTCCATTATGATGGATTTCCCACGATTTTCTGCTAGAATTTTACTTCCAGTTTCCCGAACACCCCTGTCCATATTATGGTATATTTCCTGTGCAAGTTGTCCAAAAGACTCTCCTGATATGGACCTGGCGCGTGCGTGGCGAGCCGCATGCACACAGACTCTTGACCAATTAGAATCGATTAAACTGCCTTGTGTCCAAGATGCCAGCGCGTGATTTACGCAGCGGGTATTGTCACTTCTCAGCGGGCGTTATCAAATGTTAATGCACAGTCAAGTTGCACACTGTTGAATAGGGAGAATGTCTGAGGTACATGTGTTTATGAATAGGCCCTTTGTTATTAATTCTGCTCACCTAGTGCTTTTTCTGCCAATTTGTATTTTCGGAACAGCTTCCCAAGCCAAACTTCTGGCTGATTCAACAATCTGTAAGATCAAAATAAAGAAACGTAGAAGGAAGAAAACTAATACGCCCACAGACAGCTAATGCTGCTGTGCAGGCACACATCATGAACTATAAAATTTGCACGTATCAACTTCAGGACCACAGGCAAAAATAGAAAAACAAACTTTTAATTTTGACAGTTTTTACAAAGCTCTAACTCCTTTCCGATATTTGAGCGTCTAAAATGTAACCTCTGGGCCCTGGATTTTCTCCACAAACAAATTATTTCCAAAAGGGCTACTAGCATTATTCGTTATTACTGCCCATGTTTTTTTTACTATTGTGCAATGTCACAACTATGTCCTAAGTATTAACAGAAGGGCCTACGCCTCGTGGGACTCTCTGTTTCTGCTGACGCTAGTGTTCAGCAAACCCTCTCCGCAGGCGCATTTTAGCCATTGACAAAAGAATCCCAACCCACCGCTGTCTGACCACTTCCACGTGAGAGACATAGGCTAGACTTAAACCAGTTTAGCTGAGCCCGAGGTCTGAAAGGCGAGGGCATTGAGTCCTAGAGGGTGGACTCTGTCAATCTTGGTTCACGCAATCACATTATCACGTTTGTCACGGGCCTTACCCGAGGGAGGATTTTTCTGGAAGTTCTAACAAGCAGTCATCATAACCTCGCTGGGTGGGAGGTAAAAGTCCCCTGTCAGGCAAGAAAAGCCAACTGGCGTCAATGCATTATTATACTTTCATAAGAGAATGTGTTCCCGGTGCATTCGCTCATGTTATTTTTACACGTACATTATGTTGCTTTCCAAAAATCCTCATGAAGTGCGAGTGCCATACATTCCGCGAAAAATTACATTCTGGGATCGCTATTTCAAATTAGAAGTTGCAGTCATGTTTTGAACTGCACCAAACTTCGGCGTCTGGGATATGCTCTCATTCGGCCGACTGCGGCTGAGCGATGTTGCACACTGACCCGACGAATTATAGCAACCGCTTGCACATACCGTGTAAATCAAGTTTACACTTGCTTGGACTTCATTAATTAAAAACAAATTCCTGATAGTAATATCCCAAAATTTGTCTGTAGACAGATCTTTAGAAATTGCCTACTATCACTTTTTCTTCTTGACATCTTGCCTGATAGAAATATTTCACAGGGAGCTTATTCCCATAGCTATCTTTAAACCAGTGCTTTTCAACAATTAATTCCTTTATGGACAGCTGCAAGTATGGGACCGTGCCTTTAATATGTCATTTCAGTACATCTAATGACAACCTTACTTTAAATGTTGACGAATACGGGCAATTCATAATAGTGCGCCTTCAAGAGTTTGCAGCGTGTTGGCCAATCACAATGTACGAAATCTGTCGACCCTTTCCAAACTTACATCGGGTCGACAGATTTCGCACATTGTAATTGGCCAGTGCGTTGCAAACTCTTGGAAGTGCACTATTGTGCAAATAACATTCTGTGTGGCCCGTTTATTTAAAAATATCACAACAAAACTCTTTCAAAACTTTTCTTTACAATTTGGAAAATTTCCTACGTATAAATCTGTAAGTTGGTCCCGGGTACCCGGCCCCCTAATTTCTGGTCGTGTATTCCAAACCACTTCTGCGGTGTATAATGGAACCATCATACTATCCCACCTTGCCAGGGTATGTGCAGACACATTGACACCCCTCTCTAGCAGCTGTTGATGCATGTCTTCCATTTCTTGTTCTTGAGCGCTTAACGGGACGATCTGTAACCAAATCGAGGAAATCACAACAATCCATTCACGAGAAATAAGCCAATCATTCTGTTTACCGGTTCATTATTAACGTACACAGTTGAATTTCGTCCCAAGCAAAACAGCATTGAAAAGGATTTGCACTGGCTTGACACAGCACGCTGAAAATTATATCGAGATATTTTCGGATCTGAAGGCAACGCCGGGAGCCTTTTAAGGAGCTTTCTCGGTCCAGTTCCAAACATCTCATGTTTGTTGCTTTTAAACTGAAAAGAGCAGGCGTCCATGCAAGAATCTTACGATTTCTTACCGGAATACGCAAAGGTGTTTCACTGTTGCAGCGATAGCTAAGTTGTCCAATGTAAGAAATAATACGGGACGAGATTCTAGTGAAAATTAGACACTATCCATCCCTCAAAATGGTGGGCATGTATCTTGGAGGATTGTCTCATTGGCTCAATTTCACTTCTTCCGACAAAATGTATGTCACCACATCGACAAGCTTGATCCAGAAACTTCAGTGTCACAAATTTATGCTGATCCACAATTCGTAACTGAAGCTACATTGATTTCAGTGCGATAATTTCTGGGCCAGGCAGGTAATGCCAGCACTTACAGCAACCTCAGTCTAAGGAATTTTTCTGTCAAATGCTACAGAGTGAAAACGTACTAGTTTGGGCACCGGGGTACACAGGTATCGGTTTACAGCGCAGGGTAAAATGAAACTTAATACTGTAGTGTAGTAAGCACTATTTGATTTAAGTAGGGTCACTGAATTAATGGCTTTACTGCAAGAATGCACTGATCGGCCGTGCTCGCAGTGTGTCCTCTGCCCTGCCACAGTTGCAAAAAGGTTTGTCTGTGGGGCTCACTGTAAACAAAATTACAAATAAATGCCTCTTCTGACCACTCACACTCTTAAAACAACCAAATCAAAATGTTGAGTGATTTTCCTAGTTGTTCAAACTTGACTACAGATTCAGTCAAACATCCGCCGCGCTGACGTTGGCAAATCATGCTTTCTGACAAGATTCCTATTCGATGCCTTTTGGACTGTCAATGAACTGACTGAAAAATCTAGTCAGGTTGACTAATTTCCACTTGCACCCAGCTGACCCTGAAGCGCTAGTCAGATTTTACTAAATTCTAGTCAAACTTGACTGCATATTACGACAGAGCAGTTTAACTGTTAAAGTCATGTTATACTCCAAATATCTATTGGCTTGTCCTGGTATCTGCCAGTTTGGGTTTCCACACAGAGACATGTCCTCATGAGACTTAACTGGAAAGTTCCCCGCGGAAAAGGGTAGAATTTTGTTTGAGGTCAAAAGGTTAGGGGTGTAATGTCAACACGAATTTGAAAAAAGTGCATGAGAATGTTTGATTGTAAGGAAAAGTCTCGTATTGGTGGAGTTGGTAATGAATTCCATACTTGTGGTTCCTCTTCTTCGGATGATTCCGACTCCTGTTTCCTTGGTCTTCGGATAATTGGCTTGGGCTCGTCCGCTGCAACAACTGACGGAAAACATGAAAAGACCATCAATGCAAAAAATGTAATCACCACGACAAGATGAAAAGCAGTCATGGACAATTTTGTGCTCACTAAGCCAACAGGAGTTTTGGATGAGAAGATGGTTCTTTCCTAACCTTCCACTTCTGTGACTTGGGTTCAAATCCCATCCAGGCCAATGCGTGGATTTGGCTTTGAGCTCCTACGTGATGCTGTGGGTTTCCCATTTCAAACTGTAAAATAATGTGCGGTGACAGGAATCTCCAACGAGCCCCCTCATGGCTCCACCTTGCCGTACGTTTCACCATTTGACTACTGGTGCACATACTATACTAAGAGCCTTACAGAGTTGTGACCTGAGATGGTATGCATCGTGGTGTATGACTATGACGCCAGTTTGTTTGCTCATTGGTGGGTTGTTGTATGCAGGATACGGATGTAAAAATGGCCGCATTTTTACAATGAGCGCCGAGCTGGACCAAGGGAGGGCACAAGTTTCCAACCAACAATTTTCCAAGTAACGGAGGCTCCTTTAGGCCGTGTCCAAAACGGGCTTCCAGAGTTACGGCTAGGTCTATTGTCTGCGCGTCTCCACGCATTTCCATTGGAGCGAAGACCTAGACCTAGCTCTAGACAAGAGATTCGGATGCAGCCTTGGTCGGAGCTGCACTTTACTGATTCACAGTTGACTATAAAATGCACATAATACGGTCGTGTCGCTACCAGCAAAATGAACACTCCCGACCAACACGGCTCTTTTCTGCTCAATTAGGCAGATGCTTCAAGGTGACATGACGAACAGATCAAAAGATGAATGACTGTTTCACACAGTGCAGACTTTGGCAGCAAAATTGCTTCTAATCCATGGTTGTCACAACTCTATATCCGGCTATGGACTAACTCAGCTTGGAGTATTTCTTCTCCTTGTTGAGGGTGCCCTCTCGTAATGCTTTCACTGCCTCTCGATTCCTCTTGTAGTCAATAGCACTGCAATATTAGAACACAAAAGGATCTATAAACTTTCTCAAAAAAGTAACGTCTGACTGACTTCAACAATTCTAAATGTCATTTGGTCCCTTTGCATGTTCTAGTTATGCAAACAAGTCCGCATGATATTCGTTAGTTTCTGGGACAAAGTCCTTTGCTGCTGGTCGCTTTAGTATTTTAATTTTGTTTAGTTATTTAATATTTGATATCCAACAGCAGAGATCTGCCATTTGCAGGTATTATGATTGAAAAAATACATTTACAAATGAAATTGTACTGTATCATATTAAATATTAAAATATGATAACAATCATTAACATTCCTCCGTTGAACACGAAAATGTTGTTAAACTAATCTTTTTTTTAAAGTAAGCTTCATAATTTTGTTTATGGAAATGAGAGTATGTAACTTCTTTTTCACTCACCGTTTCTTTGGTGTGACCACAATGGCTGTGCTAGATTTGCTGGCAAGTTTACAAACGTCAGATCTCATCTGTATAATCATTGATGTAAATTACATCATATTAATTTGTGAACATTCACCAACTGAAAACAAAGATGACAGAAAAAGACGATAACGAGATTAAAACTTAACATCCTCAGAAATAACAAAAGAAATGGCTGAATGTGGTTGACTTTGAAAGTTACTGTGGCCAAAGAGCTAAATGTAACAACGTAAACGATACATTTGCAGGAGGTTTGGCCGAATGCGGACGTCTTCTCATCTTCCCTGGACTTTTTCTTCCAGAAGCAATCTCTGCACTATGTCCCTTGCTCGGAGCAGAGACCGGCCTTGTGGGCACCTGGAAATGAGACACAAGAGCTGCACACTGATGTTTGTCTGAACAATCTCCCATAATGTCAACAGATTCTCAATGCAAAGTGACATGTCAAACTTTGACCCGTTTGATGTGCATGTATGAAAATTTTAATGTACAAAACAGACTGAGTAGCTTTGTTTTCTGTATGGATATATGTGTCTCAGTTGCTGCCATCTTCGGCTCAGCAACATAATGCTATTAAAACGATCCCCTGATATCCCTTATAGACAAAATATTTGTCTTCAAGACTGGATGAAGTCGAGTCTTGCTGTGTGGAATTTTTATGTTTATGAAAAGTACAAATACAGGGTCATGAACTGTGTTATTTTCTTACGAGAGATACTTTGCCATTAGTGACTGGCTCTGACTGCTCAGCCATTTCCATCTCCCCTGGGGTTGTGCTGATATCGGTATCTCCTTGTCTGTGACTCATTCTTGACTCAGGTCTGGGCAGAGCTGTCATGCCGACCTGAACATTTTGTTAGGAGTCAAGGACGAATGATTAACAAAAAGGGTTCCTTCAGAATGAATCTCAAATATACTTGGCTTGTTATTAACCATGTGTATTCTTAATTGTTCCCACTTGTCAACTAGGTCCGATTCAGAGCTTTCAAGCACAGAAATTCACTGAGCACTGAAAGTATTTGCTTAGAAAAACAGGTCACCAGCCAGAATGTCGTACACTGTGCACTAATATTGTAACTGGTTCCCTGCTGAATTGTGCTTAGTGCATAAACAAGTGCTTGTATAAATTTCCTTCTAGAAAGCGCTGTGAGATTGAGTCCTAGTCTACATACTCCTTTCAGAATCTTGAAGAAAATGTAGCCAACAAACCAGCCTACTTCAGGCTTGTTAGGCTATAGGGCACCCTCTCAGAGCAGCTGCACGTGATACTCACGTTATTGGCAGGCTTGGTTGGTCTCCTGATAATGCTGTGCGTCCGACAAGAGGCATCGTCACTGCTTGTGCTACCGGCTCTCCCCCTCAGTCCTTCACCCACGTCTTTCCTCTTGTCTTGCCTCAGCAAGGCAGACCGGAAAGGCTCTGTCGCCTGTCTGATGACGGAGACCGACTTCTCCTCCGTGGGCCCTTGGTCTCCAAACTGGATGGTCTTAGTCGTGAGCACAGCTGCCTGGGTGGGGTAAGTCAACTCCCTTGACAACTCGTAGTAGTTCCTCTTGAAGGAGGTTTGGGATATCTGTCTGGTGACCGACGATGCTCCAGTTGCCGGCTTAATATCATCAGTTTCCTCTGATAGAGCCATCCGTGACATCATGGTCTCAACGTCCGGCTGTGTCTTGCTGTGCTGAACACCATCCGATTTGGACTGTGGACCTTCCATCTTAGACTGTTCCGTATCATCCCCGTACTCCACTCCAACAATTGGTACCTTCGCTGATCGGGGTCTTGCAGTCTTGGCTCTAGCAGGTATCTTTTGGGCTGGGGAAACACTTGTAGCTCTGGAGCCTGGAGCACTGGATGCTGTCTCAGTAACATTCCTACTTGCATTGGCTGCACTTTGGGGTTGTCTCTTTCCAACCGGCGGGTGGGGTACAAACGGTTTCAAGATATCACGGGGCGTTATATCAATTGTGACATTACGCTCCTCCATGATGTGGACCGAATGTTTGCTTTTAGGTTTATATTGGGACTTCTTCTCAATGACCTCTTCGGGATCGGAGGTACCCACCAAAACTTCTCCATCTGCCACTTTGTCCTTTTTTTCTGGCAAGCCCCGAAGAACCACCCTGACATGTTGCTCAGAGTTTGAGGATGTGGGTTGGTCACGGTAGGGCAGCTCAGAGGGACTGTTGGAGGGTTCCTCAAGTTGAGACAAGACTTCACTGGTCACACTCTGAAGCTCTAGATCTGTTGGCTGCTTGCCATCTGATGATTCCTCCTGAGGTCTACATTCATTTGCCCCAAACAAAGAAGGCCAAAGCCAGCATTAGACAGCAAAAGACAAGACTTGAAATTCACGTTTTTGACCGAGTTGAGCAAACCCAGAAATCTGATTTGCCCTACATTATGTCTGTTGATTTGAGCACATTTCTTCCCCTTTACAAAGTAGAATACAAACTAGAGCATTTCATTTATGACCTAGCTGTTCTTACCCATCAGAATCAATGAAGTCATCCACTTCCTGCTCAGGTTCACTTGTATCATCCTCCACAGCAGGTATTGTCATGGACAGTCTCACTGGTTCAGGGGTGGGACGTCGCAAGAGCTGAGGGACGGTTGGCTGTGACCGACCAAATGGACGAAACCAGCCTTGAACTCAGTGTGGACACTCTATAAACTGTTTTAAGTCTCAGTCTCGGAATGCATTTGATTACATGAACTAGTACCCCCTCATTGTCAAAAAGGAGGTAGGCTGGGCAAAAACCTGCCCATCATAGGCCAAGTTCAGTTTAATCTGTCAACCACTGGTCAATTTTTTGCATGGTAACCTGTGGGAAAAAGTATACCCTGGGCACCAAGCAAAATCAACCAGTTGTTGACAGATGGTTGCTGATCAATATGTCCATTGCAGTAGTGTGCCGTACGCCCATCAGAAGATTGATGAATATTACCTGCAAGTAGTCTCTGCCATACGTACACCAGCCAATGTGTGCAGGCCTTCAAGTTGTGAAAGCCAAAGGGAGCATTCATGCTCAGTAGCAAAGCCCCTATAAAACTCATTAATGTACACAGTCCATAGACTCAAGTAGTGTCCAAAGTACATGGCTACGGCTAGAATTAATACATAAGTCAATGGGAAATGCACACAGCCGTTAGCTTGGAAGCTTCCATAGGCGCATGTTCCATCATGCCTTAGCCAGGTGATTTGCATACAATAGCCTCACTCTCACCTGTTTGACTGATATCTCCTTGTACGGAGTCCCATGACTATCACTGTCATGTTCAACTGCATTGTCCTCGTCCTCGGAAACTGCTATCTCTTCATCAACATTTTCACCAGGCACCTGCTCATCAGGAATGGGTGAGCCATGAGGGGCAGGGGGAGGGACCACCAGTGATGGATGGTCACCATACATAGCGGAAAGCCGCGCTAAGTGAAAAGTACCAATGCATTGTCTTGAAACTAAAATCATACAAAAATCTTTCACATCATGCACCCCCCTCACCCAAATTCCTTATAATCCATCCAAAAATAGATGGAGAGTGCAGATTTCATTGGACCCTCCTCCACCCCCAATCTCTTGGTGTCCTGATATCTTGATGCCATGATATTGTAATGCCTTGATATATAACTAGTGTCAAGATGACTTAAAAGGGTGCAGGCAACCAAAATCTGTCATAACCCATTTTAATCACTAAATACACTGATGTATATACGTATAATGTAAAATAAAAGCAAAACCAATTTGTGTTCATTATTTGTGTGTTTATTTGACCCCCCAAATTCCCTCCCCCCCCCTGTGGATTCAGTTGCAGTTTAAATTCCGTAGCCACAAACAGAGGCACAGAACATCAGTCGCACGAAATGACACCTGGGCACCAGACAAATCAGCTGGGCCGCAGCACTGCATATTTGTCTGCAAGCAAACATGGTATGCTTGTACATGTAGATCCCACATGTGCACGCTGACAGAATCGGTTGAGCAAAATGGCTGAATGTGAAATCTCAGAAGTGTCGTCTTCATCGTCGTATTCAGCCAATTCTAAAGTCAGATCTGACAATAATGTATCTGACTTGTCCTCTTCCAATTTGGAGTTAAAATTTGGATATTGCGTCAAGTGAAGACTAGGAAGAAATTACACTAGGGGCTCAACCGTACATGTTTGAGCCCAAAGTATTTTTCTCGTACTTATCCAAGAAACCAAGTATCACATCACGAGATATATCATTCTGTAGATCACAATTTACTGGTTTATACATGAATAATACAAAACATATCCCTTATCATCTTGCCTTTAATGTTTTGATGTCTTGGTGTCTCAATGTCCCAATGTTCCGATCTCAATATCATGATGTGAAGATGCCAGCACCACCCCTCCAACTTACCCAGGTCATGCCTTCTGGGGCTGGGCTGGTGCCTGATGAACTCCTCAAGAGTGCTCTCCACCTGTTGCTGACTGAGTTCCTCCAAGCCCACCATCAGCTCGGCCAAGGCTGTGCCCGTGGTCTGCCTTGGACCCCTGCCACTGGGTGGGCGGCTCTTTGGGTCATACTTGGCTCCTTTCACTGGAAAAGTCCACCAATAAAATTTGAACTTCAAAATCATGTTGATAAGAGGACATCAAAATGAAATAAATAAAAGTGTAATCAACAACCAGTGATACGTAGTTTCCTAGCAACAACATCATTTGGGTTGAGGTCTTCCTCATTTATTCTCTGTAAATATGTTGGGAGTTGGAGGGGTACATACCCTAGTGGTTACGGTTCAGGACTCCTGATCAGAGGATGAGGAGTTGGAATCCAGCTGCTAGCCATAACTTGTGGCTTTGAGCAAGTCATTTTAACCCTGCTTGCCTCTCTCCACCCAGGAGTGTGCATGGGCACTGGCATTAGCTGACGAAATATCTTTTTGTGCTGAGGAAACCAGAGATAAACGCTGGCCTGATGGCTCAGGGCACACTGTTTTTAAAATCAGGGAAGTTTGGATAGATTGTATCTTCCAGCTCTGGATAATTTCTTGAAGTGGGAATAAGATGATCAGCCACTTGGCCCAATGGTTCCATGAACCACTGATGAGGGACACTTGCTCACAGTGCCCACACCCTGTCTTCTGTCATTTACAACCCCTTCACTTACTTACCGTTAATAAAGGCGTTCAGCCTGCGCTGAGACTCGTTCTCTGCTTCAGCGGCACTGCTCTCCGAGCTGGGCCTCCGCTGGGTTGGGCTAGAGGGCACCTTGCGACCACTCCAGGGACGGCGCGGCCCCTTGGTGCTCTCCTGCCGCTGGGATTGTCTCTCCCCTTGCTGCTTGATGAGCTCTGGAATGGAAGCATCACTGCCCCTGTATTCAAACAAATAAAGAGTTAGGATTGTTCTCAGTGCTGGGAATTAAAGAGACTCAAAATCATCAGATTCCATCTCATAATCCAGTGGCAAGTTCTTCAATAATTATGTAGGAGACAACTGGTGTCCTGGCATCATTCAGTGAGGGTTAGGGTGGCACACCGACACCAGACCAATCCTGATTTGACGGTTGTTGAGCATCAAAGCAGGCAGTACTGGTCATGCAATACTGCAAAAACTGTATTTAGTTTGGAGAAATCACATTTGAATATGGGCAAGTGTAATGAAAAAAATCAGGATACCAGACATTTCATACATTAGCCATTCTCACTAGTATTACAGCAAAACATTTTAATTGATTTACCATGCTGATGCAGTGGAATGGAGTGCCTTGGATGCAAGAGGTGGAGCTGTGTCCAACTCGGTGTATGTTTTGTGGGTGCGGCTGGCGGAGGTTGGACGTAGGTTTTTGGACAGCGTAGGTGTGATGTTATGCACATTGGCCTTGACGCGTTCCAACCTTGCTAACGACGCACTGCTTGGTCCTAACCAGTCCTGCAGACACAAAGAAAATGACAATTAACATCATGATTGATGGGATGGGGGCCTGGAGTTCTAGAGAAAAGTTTGATGATGACAGCCGGGTGTGGGCAGATATGATGGAATTTTTTCTCATCATAGTGGTTTGCAAACCCATCTCTTCGACGCGGTTACTTTGTGGTTGTGGAGGGCTGAGTGGTGTCACCTGCTGAGAACTAGTATGCAAATGAATACGTTTTCATTGGCTGGGATACTCCTGCCAGCACTATATCCTTGGAATGGTTTGAAATGAATAACATGATTAATAGGTTGGTGTATGTAGGCGTACACAAAGCACTCATGAACCAGCTAGGTCTTGAATGGTATTAGTCCAGAATAACATTACCATTTCACTTCAGAAAAAAAGCCTACATGCAATATGAAACATGATCAGTGTCACTTGACATCCAGTCAAGAAATCCCTACAACAAAAGTACGACTATCTGCCTCGGCCTATATAGGCCTAGGCCTACAGCATGAGCACGATGAAACTCATACTTTCATTAGGACCACTTGACTTGACACTTGAAAAATACTTCCTTGGCCTTGGACATGTTTCTGATGGCTATGTGATATATGGGGGGGGGCCTATATCATATGGGCCCTCAGGAGAAACATTAGTGATATCCATGTGGAATGCTTCCCAACTATGATGTAGGCCTAGTAGTAGGCCTACTTCCCCATTATAGGCTGCTAGGGGTCCAGAGGTAGGAACTTGCCTACCGCTATAAGGGTACAGTTCAGTAATTCAAGCCCAATTGGAAACAGAGTAAAATCAGCACTGTTCAGGGCCCAATAACATGCATACCAACATCGCTGAGATTTCAGAAACACAAATGAATTATTGTGTAGTCCCTAATCTTTCAATTTCTTTTCAATTTTTTGTGGGTTAACGAATTAAATTTTTAATTATTCCCACAAAACAAAATCACCCCCGAAAAGGGATTTTTCCGAAGTCCGATTGCAGCCATTTTTCAAGTGGCAACCCTCAACTTTCTCGGGCACTTACTGACTTAGGCCCATTTTCAACCGTAGGTTTTATCCATTCTGCTCTCATATGAAAGCTCAAAGACCCAGGGAGTTGATCCTGACAACGATTTACACAATCTCACCATTTTGGGGGCCAAACAATCTCCTTTTTCAAAAGATACTGAGGGGGCACTTTTAATGCTATAGTATGAGCTGGCCAGAAATTCTCACTTGAATCAGTGGTCTGCAACCCTAAGGTAGCGAACTTACGCGGGTAGCGAACTGTTGAATTCGGTCGTATTTTTGGGCAAGTGCATCTTCCATGTTGCGATTCTTTCACTTGGAGGTAAAAATCTAGACAAGGGTAGTGTTTCATGTTCACCCGTACGGGTGCACCGCAACCTGATCTCTTGGTTTCTAACCACTAAAAATGTCACATTTGTTGACATTCCGTACCCATAGTATACTTTGCACTTTCCAGCTAGTTAACAATTCACTCTTCACTCGGGAAAACCTCTAAGTTACCCAAAATAAAGTTGAGTGGGTCAGTATCATTTCACTCCCTCTGTAAAATTTAACTTTGATGACGAGAATTAACACTGAATTTTCATTTTACATAAAAACTATGTTTGTATTCAGTAAGTCTAAAACATCAATTTTTAATGAAAGCCAGACTGAGAGAAATCCATTAATCTATTAATGACGAATTCCTATGAACTCGAGGGTTTTCCAGCGTCTGTGGTTACTGGCGGCTATTTTCATCGCCCAATGCCGCTGTTAGCTTAACATTGATAAGATTAATTATAAAAAGCGCCCAATTTTTTGGAAAACATCGCCCAACACTTGAGCCGCGGTTGTCAAAGTACAACCGGAAGTAACGTTGCGGGAAATTCGTCTGCTGCAGCATTTGCTGCAGTATCTACGGTTGTGCAGCGCGGGAGGCCTGAGGTTGTACTTTTTTTCAAATAAATATATTCTGTTTTTTGTGCTCCATTTTCCGTAATGTCGTCGCCTTGTGAAGCAAACACAAGCCGAACCCCAGCTACAGGGACCAAAAGGCGCTATTTGGGATCAGCTAGACGAAAAAGAGTCTATGAAATTTTCATGCTTTCGCCAGGAATTTGCTCAAAACAACAGGAAAACCACGTGCAAGTTTGCAGTGACGAAAATCCTAGTGTTACAGAAGAGGAACCCAACATTCCAAGAGAAAGTGAACATGGCGAGACCGCCAGCGCAAGAAAAAGAACCCACGAGCAACCAGAGCCGGACTCCATTCACACGCCTGCTCACAAAGCTCAAACGTGCCAAAGAAGTAGATTATTTAAACGACATCGAAGTCATGAAAGTGAAAAGCCGGTACAGGCTGATGTTGTTGATGCGAATGTTGGAATGGGCATGACGTCATCATCTTCATCAACAAATCTACTTTCAACACCTGTTCATAGGTAGTTATTCAAAAACTTCAGGTTAAAATTAATTTCACATGGCTAAGTAATTGGCCTAATATGAAATGGACATATTGACATGATTGAGTAGAATTAGGCATGCAACTTTTCCTCGGATCAGCTGATATCCTCACTTTTCACTTCACATTCATGCGATTGAAAATTGAAAAACACTGTACAGAGACTTGTCTTGTAAAGATTGGAATTTCCTCATTTTTTGTCAAAGTCCAAGTTCCATTCCTGTACTGAATTTAGACCCAATGTTGTATTTTGTGGTTTTTCACAAAAACCTCTTTTTAAAAATGTGTTTCATCGTGTGATTGTGTGACTAGTTCTTGTTTGTTTCTGAAGCCCAAGACATCCCTGCCTGTTAAATATTTGGAGCACTGTATGTTACAACTTCTAAATCCTTTTGCGTCATGTGTGCCTCTAACTTTAGTAGGGCCTATGTAGTCTTCTGGTGGGGATGTCAATGGTCAACCATGCCTCTTTTGGACATGATTTCTCATTTTCCGCAAGCTAGGGATTCTCTAACACAGTTTTTACACCATGGCAATATTTGACCAAGATGACAGAATTTTACTAAAGCAGCTAGTTTTTTCAACTTCTTCAAAGTAGACTTCAACCAAGGAACATGCACTCTGGCAGACATTCAGCGAGGAAACGCCCAAGAAATGACGATTTTAAATCACCAGTAAGTCACTGTATGCCACATTCTCATAAAGGTGATGTTTATTACAAAGTGACGTAAATTTCCACAAGACAAGATATGTGCCGTTAAGCTCTGTTATAATTAAAGTACATCAATGGAAGTTAAAGTTGTACATGTACCACCAAAATGTCTATTTTGGGTTCTGTTTTTTTGGTAGGTGAGAAATCAAGTGGAATCAGCCACAGAAACACAGCCACTAGAAACAGTGGAGAGTTTGACAAAAGGAGTTGAACAGTTGCAGCAAACCGCAAATGAACTACAAGTGGAAATTGTTGCCCTAACGAATGAGTAAGCCTGGTTTGTATTCCACATCCCCAACTCCGCCACCCATCACCTCCGTGAAAATATTGGCAGAGGAAATCTTGTCTAAAGCACATTTTTCTCTTTTCAGAAAGTATTGTGCCAAAAACTAACCTTCATTCATAATTCTCAGGTTTATCCATGGCTTGGCTTTTATTGGAGGTCATCATGCAAGTTGCCTGTGAGCGTCACCAGGGAGGGTGATTTAAGCCCCTCTCCCCCCCCCTCAGCTTTGGCAACAAATATTGTACCCTTTGTCAACAAAAGAGAACACCACAATCAACACCAGTTGACGACCCCATGAATTGTACCCCTCAGGCTATTGGCCATTCACAATAGCCGTCCCTCTCCTATGGCCCCAAGCTGGACCAAGAGAGGATGCAATTTTCCTGGCAATGGGGGTTCCTTTTGTGGCTCTGCACTTCTCTGGTTCACTAACGAATATGAAATGCAGTTGTTACAGTTGCTTCGCTTCTAACAACATGAACACTTCCAACCAACATGGCTCTTTTCAACCAATGAGGGGGTGCTTGTGCTCAAGGCAGAAACGCCAGTGAAGTGTTACACGATATTGACTAGATCACCATATATGTACCTAGCAGTGGATCATGCTTCATATGTAACAACCAGATTGGTCATTTGTAGTGAGCGGGTTTATCTAACGGCTTTCTAAGGACCAACATTTCTTGGGTTATTCAGTGAAATATAAATTTCTGAAGTTCCTTGTGTACTCCTTGCTTGTTGTATGAGTATCGATGAATTGATTTAAGGTCACATGTACCCGCTGGAGTGGGTAACCACCATGTTTGCTGTAACCTGATCTAGTTACCGTACCAACACAAACATCAATCCTTAGAGGCTACCGTGAAGAGGAGCTGCAGACCCACATTGAGAAGATGCATGAATACAATGAGCTGAAAGACACTGGGCAGATGCTCCTGGGCAAGATAGGTATGACTCTGGTGTCCATAACATTTTCTTTTCTTCATTAACCCTAACCCTCCTCAATCCTTCACCTGTTGGAGGACTGAGGAGTGTTAGGGTTAATCAAAGATTCCTCACTAGTGCCCAGGGCACTGTACATGTAGGTTGTAAGCCTAAAGAAACCTGTGGAGAGGAGACATTGAGACCCAGCTCCAGTCTTAGAGGTGGTAGGAAAACCCCAGATAAATATTCTGGGTAAAACTCACGGAATCAGGTAGGGACTGAAAACCCAATCCACATGTCATCCGAGCCAGGCATTGAACCGGGATGGTAAGAGGTAAAAAAAAGGCAAGGAGTGAACCACTTGGCCAGTCTGACTCCTCAACTTGAAGATTGAATTTGTGATGTTCTCTGTATGCCCTTTGCTTTTCCGTTGGCTGTGGCACCAGTTTGAATTCAGCTCAGCTCATCAGTAAATTCATGTACAAGGAGTATGCATTTATTTCTATGCATGACATTATGGCCAGTAACCTGCTCCCACCAAGCAGATACTTTTGTGCGAAGCAAAATTTCCATGCTGATCAGCTCTGCAAAATTAATTTTGGCTGTTCCCCTGTAAAACTGGTTTTCCTCATGACGGCACTTTGTGCGATGGCTAATGCGATGATAGTGAATGGATCAAATCTAATTTCACTGTTTCAAGAAAGTAAATTTTTTTTTAATTCTAAACCTGACTGCAACAAATCAGTAGCAACAGTTTTTTTCTTTGATTATTTTCACAAGCATGCAAAGCATGCTGTTTTCCTATGGCCTCATGACTAAAATGATAATGACTAGAAGCTACTTGTCAGTTGCACCTTTTATGGAAAACACATGTAGATTGTTAACCCCTCCCTTACAATATGTTTCATTTTCTTGTGGAATAAGCCATTTGCGAGTTAAATTTGAATAAAATCTGGTGCACTGAGTTATCTGACTGCACGTAAACATAATGATTTGAATTCCCCAGACTATAGACACTGTTGCTATACTTCGTGATTCGGGGCAAGCTTTTTGCATGGCGACCACCATCTCTGGAATGGACTGGTTCCTTTGTGCCCTTCTTATCCATTGAGAACAGTGTATTGTTGCAAGGCGTCTCTTATGTAACTAAGCAAAAGCTTGCCCCGAATCACGAGGTATAGCAACAGTGGTTTTAGTATGGAGAATTCAAGTTGTTATGTTCACATGAATTTAAAGAACTCAGTGTACCATATTTGGGTCAAAGTTAACTCGCAAAAGGCTTATTGATTTCCATTTCTATCTGAATCATTTAAAGCACTGAAAATTTCATTTTGACTTGAACTTTCGGAGGATTTTTGGGAGGCTGCTGAAGTGGGTTTTTTATTCACTGTTGTCACTGTTTCTTGTTCTGTTGTCCTTGGCAGCATTGGTCAAAGGTGTGACAACCAAAGATCTCTACGAGCAGTTCAGTCTTGATCTCAGTGACTGATCCAGGAGCAGCTCACGGAAAAGTTATGTAAGTACGAGTCTTATGTGCATCTGTAACTCCAAGTTCTGATCATGCAAATATTTTGTTCCCAAAAGCCATTCTGTTATCACCCAATTTCAATGTAGGTTTTGAGTATAGACCTATGACATAATGATGTCATGTTGTGCTGAACACAATGCATTCTTGGACCCAGAGACTATGCTGTGCTGTTGTGTTAATCCACTAATGTCATCCATACTTGTCAATAGACAACACTGCCAATGTCTTCTTCATGGTCACATACATGTACATGTGTTCGCCCTGAGTTGCAATGTGCCCTCAACAACAAAGTAAGGTTCCTGACCATATCATTGCCAGGTCCCTAATTTCGCCACTTATTTGTCAAGTTAGATTGGTTTTCACAGTAAGCGACAAAATAAGGAACCTGGCAACTATGTGGTAACAGACGTAAGAAAAGCTGGTAGGAAGTTTTCAACTGAGCTTGTGGGCTCACCCAGCAGACACACAAAGACTATACATTCCCACGTAAATTGGTTTCACATACTCATTGCGCCCTGTGCAAAACACGCATGAACCTGTGCGCTTGACCTAACTAAAAGAGGCCATGTCAGGTGAATGAACATGTACACTGTACCAAGTTTTTGCAGAGATTATCAAGGCCACAACTACTGCAGATGTGGCAAATGAAAGCATTCTTTTCGACAGGGCATAATGCTTGAGAAGGTCGTAAGCTAAAAATATTTAGAAAAGGGACTGCTCAACAGGGTTAGCCTATGAGACAATTGAGTAACAAGTGGCTGACAAGAGTACAAGAGCTGTAGCAGATGGTAAATTCTGACATCTGATTGTTTGAGAAGTGGATGTACTATCCGCTCCGAGTAACAGTAGAGGGAAATGGGCCGTGAAAAATTAGTTCAATGTCATCCAGAATAAATTCTCAGAAAATGTACAAGGAAAGGGGTTAGGCTGTGAATCGTACTTTTTCCAGAATAAAAGACCAAGGGTACTAGACAAAGAACGGCGTAGTGGGTTAAGTATTTATTGTGCAGAAGCTTTTTTTACAAACTCAAAAACAAGCCAGAAAAAATGGCAATTCTAAATGAACTGCCCCAAGCAGAACCACTTCAGAGGCCTAAAACGTGACAGGAGTGATGAATGATGATGTTGAGATAAGCCAGTTCATGTTTAGGGACAAATCATCTCACTATTTCTTTTATTAACTGGAAAAAAGTTTTGCAAGAGAGATATAAGAGCTGAAAATTAAATAAAATCATTGTAGAACTTGCAATAGCAAAAACCCACAAGCATGTGTACCACAAGCATGCCAGCAGCTATCTACAAGACTAAAAAATAGACAAAAGTAATGTTTCCTTTAAAAAGTATCCTCTGCCAAAACGATCTGGTCTTCTTCTTACAACAAGGTTAGTAAAAAGTTGAAAAGTACGTCCAGATTATTTCCCTAGTGCAGTGTTTCCGTCACAAATATAATTTTGAGTACTGAGTAAATGATTTTCTGTAAGCATTCTATATTATTAGCTAGCATACTTGCATTTGATGGCAAATGAAATGATTTAATTTTCTTTATTCCCCAAAATATCTTGTAATTCATGCAGTTAGAAAGATGAGGTTACCCCCGGGCAGTAAAACATTTATTTTTTTATTAAGTGGTTATGAAAACTGTTTAAAACTAAACATTATATGGAGATCTATTCCTATTCCCACTCGGGGTGGATGGTGAAGTGTCTAGGGATGGGTCGATGGGGGCGGGTGAACAAGGCAATGGTGTTAGAGACAGGCCCTGTGTGCTTGAAGACAGGCAGGTGATGCCAGGTCTGGTACTCATCCTTGTGGCTGCGGGTGTATGGGGTGAGCAGCTGCAGGCGCCGGTCTACCTGACCTGGCCGCTTGCTGTCCTTCTTTAAGGTGACCGAGGCCACAGGTTTCCCTCTAAAATTGAGAGAAAACAAGAAATTGGGTATTTAGTAAACTGTCTGGTATTTGGCCCTAAATGTAGTTTTGTTAAAGGTCAAGCGGTATGTGAAATTCTTTTTTTTTCTCTAAGAAATTTATACTCTGCCAAGACAAATCCTGTTTCTTATGTGTACATGCACTGTTTCATTTCATTATATGTTCATGTGGAACTTGGCTAATTGGCATGTAACTTTTGCCATTTTCCAAGAATTGCTTAAATTAAATAACTAAGTTTGTAAATAACTTATTACATGTATTATGAATGTAACTTCAAATCAAAATTAAATCAAATCTTTACAGTTCTAAGATCTTAAACTGAATTCTTTCAGACCCCTCCAAGGTCACCAGGATATTTAGATTTTGTAGGACTGGGGAAGGTAGATTTCAACCACTGCTACTTGACCTGTGCCATCAAAGCATTGCTCAAAACCCCCAAAAGCGCCAATAGTTCTGCTTCTTGCAGCTCTCTGTGCCATTACCAGCAGGCTTCCTTTGTTGTTTGACTTAATTGGATAAGGGAGGGTGTCTAGAGGGACTATGAGAGAGGATTAATTGGGCTGACATGCACTGACTTAACTTACTTCTTGAGGGCATCCATGACCTGTTGTAGTCTCGTCCCATCACAGATCTTGCAGGTCCCCTGGCCTTTGTCATCGGCATGGATCTGGTGGTCAGAGATCACTTTCTTAGCGCCCATCAGCTTGCTACCGGCCAGTGAACCGAAAAACTCAATGGCCACCTCTCGATCTGAGAACAAAGCAGTTATTTGCAAGCGATGAACACATGTTTGGTTGAAGGTGCTGGAAAAGAGAGTACTTTGTATTTATCAACATCAGATACAGTATTCGCGAATGCAGGATGCAAAGGATCCTGGGTTTGAATGCAACCCAAGTGAGCCAAGACAGTCATTCTCGAAAGCTTTCTGAAAGCATCCAGTGTGATGCATTTATGTCAGTGAAGGGCAAATACCTCTCTCATTGGCAGTTTGAAGCCAGTTCTCCACAGCCTTCTTGGCGTCAGGCTGGAGGGTGTGGCCAAGTGTCCTGTCCAGGTCAGCCGCTGTCATGGCATTGCTGATGATCTTAGTGTCACTTATCCCAGCCGTTTTCAACCAGTTCTGGGCTGCAGGCAGGGCCCTGGGCTTGAGATTACGTGACAGCTGAAAAAGAGAATGGAACAAAAAGTTTTCAAATTCGACATTGTGCTACTGGAAAAACTTTTGCTTACAAGTCAAGCCAAAAAAGATACAGATGTCTCAAATCAATTCACAAATATTACTTCTGTTAACCAGGCCATATGCAGCAGTGTTAAGATCATCGTCCTCTAAAATATTCCGTTTCCCAATTTTATTCAGAATTCATAAATACCTCAGACACTCTCGATATTTAACAACGCGCAACTTGAGCGTGCATTTACATTTGATAATGCCCGCTGAGAAGTGATGATGCTCGCTCCATTAAAAAAACGTTCTCACACCTGGATACGAGACAGTTTACTCCATCCCTATTGGTCAAGAATCTGCGTACAACGAAGCACACAGAACGTGACACGCGCGTACTAAACAATACATCAGGAGATTCTATTGGACAGTTTGCAAAAGGAATATATCATAAAATGGATGGGGGTGTTCAAGAAAAAGAAGGTGAAATTGTAGAATGAAATCGTTCAAAATCCATCATATAAACACTTCTTTTGGCTCTCTAAATAAAAAGGTACATGTATTTATGAATGGGAATTAACATGTGCTTGACTAGTCTTAGACTAACGTTTAAGACCTTGCTCAGGAGACAGAATGCTGATAATGCCCTCGCCTGCCTGGAGCATGAGTCCCGTCCATTCTCCCGAGCTGGTCTTATCCGGTCCAGCCAAGCACATATTCATTCCCTAACTAATTACCAGAATCAAATGGAATCACTGTTTGTCCCTGCAAGTCTTCATTAAACTAGAATGATTAAAGATAATCATTTACATTCCATGATGGAGAAGATCAGGAACAAAGCCATAGGATTACAAGTTGTTCGGGATCAAGCCCCCACACACCTAATATGTTTCAGGGTCCATAACCACTGGACCATGGTACATGTACCCTATACTGAAAGAAGCCTTTTGTAAATGGGCTCCCAGAGTTACCGCTGTGTATGTTTGTCAGCACCTTCCCACGTTGCAATCAGCAAAGACCTTGACTTTGCTCCTGGCAGACTTTTCAGATTCTGCTTTGCCTTTAATTTATAACTTGTTTGCTGCTGTTATCTAGTTACAAAATCAACTTGTCACTGTATGACTCTGATTGAGTTATTGCACTACATGTACCTGTGCTTTTTGAGATACAAAGCAACCTCTCTGGTTGAGTGAATATGGCATCTACCCTCACTAACACATGACTAACCAGCATTCGGGCAAATTTCATGGCACTGCTTAAGCAAAGAAATATTGTTTAAGCGTGAAAAACCTTGCTTGACAAATCAGGTTGCCAGCCTTGTGATGTACATGCATATTGCTTTGGAATGGTATTTACCTGTATTTTGGTCAGCATGACAATCACATAAATTTGAGCTGGTAACTTCCGTTTATTAAGCAAGGTTTTTTCGTGCTTGAGCAAATTCTGAGCTTAAGCAGCTTTATGAAATTGGCCCCAGGTGGTTGGTTTGAGTCCCATGCGAGTTTTCTATCGGGATTTGACTTGTTTCATTTACCTGGGTATTGAAGTCTGAGTTCCCTGCTTGTTTCATCGGCGATCGGGGCACAGCAGGTAACTTGGGAACTGTTTGAGGAACAAACCAAAGAAATGTTACAACATGCAAAGAAAACATCCCTCCTATAAAATTCAACGTCTCATGCACCTTTCACATCTTCCAGGTACTCGCCTCCAGGTGTGGGAGCCTTGTTGCCGGCAGCTGACGCTTGCTTCAACTCTTCCTCCATGTCCTTCTCCCGGGAGTGTTTGAGCATGCCGTAGGGAGGCACGTGGTGGGTGGTGGAGGTGCGTGCCATCCGACGAGACGGCAGGAGGGACGGGCTCATCCCACGCAGCTTGCCCACTTCCTTCAGGACATCATTGCCGCTGGTGCTTGTGTCTGTAAGATATGCATGTCAAAAGTTGAGTTTGGATACATAATAGGAGTAATTATGAATTTGGAGCCAAAAACCTGGGAGAAGATTTGGCCGATCAGTGTCATCCTGCATTAGTCAAATGGAGGTTCTGCATTGCTGACATCTCAATGGCATCTCCACGGCTGCTTTTTTTTTATTTAATGGCCGTGTTAACACGTAACCTTTAGTGCAGAATAATGATTTTTCACCAATTTAAATTGTTCACCAGTTGACTTTGAAGATCGATTGGAAGACAGATTAGAAGGTACTGTCTAAATCATATCGCCCAATCCGTCTAAAATAAAGTATGTTTATAGTGAACAGTTCAATATAGGTTGGACAGCATACATGTATCTACATGTATTTAGGTACATGTACATACATTTCCGTTCACCATTGATGTCTTCATAGAAGCGCTGCTTGCTGTCCAACAGTAGCCTCTCCTGCTGCTGCTGGTAGGAAGGATCGTCCACTATTAAACGTGTAGGTACCTTCCAGTTCATGAACATCTAGTTCAAAGAAAAGGTCATATGTCAGAGTTACAGTTGCTTTGTAAAATTTGTTCGAAGTAAAAGGCATTAGCCCTGTAGTGTAAGTACATGTACTCGCAGACAGAGAACCAGTCTATACCGGTGTGGGTAAACTTTATCCTGCGAGGGACATGGATTATGGTTTCTGCTTGTCAGTTCATGAGCAACAAAAGAGGGATAATCCGTGCTGTACATTTACATCTTTACATCGGTACCAGCTGCGGAAACAGCTTTTGGAAAGCGACAGTAAATCCTGCTATTGTCCAGTTTGCCTGTTGCATACCCAGGAAAAGTCTGTCAGCAAACAAACGACTTGAGGTTGGGACGGGATATGATCCACATCTACTCAGCTACTTCACAGCCTTTTTGGAATCCCAGATAATCAGTTGAATATTGTCTTGTATTTGATCTGAAGTCCTATAGAGTACCGAGGTGAATACGTCACGCGCACATTTAGTGTGTAAAAGGCATGAGCGCATGAACCAACACGTGCGCGTACTCCATTCGTTTGCACTGCACTTTCTGGTTCACAGTGCCGTCACACTTCGGTACTCTATTGTGTGCCACTCTGAAAAGAGAGCATTCTGGTTCACTGCAAATCCTTGTAGTTTTCTGTGAGTAAATTTCACAGTAAATGTCAAGGTTTTTCAGGAACATGTATGTGCCTGCCAGATTAAAGTGTATTTGAGGAATATAATTGCAGGTCAGATTGACTTCAACCAAATTCTGTGACACGTTTTGGCAAAAATGTTATGTAGATGCAGTATTTTGCACCATTCTGATAACAAATCATTGCAGTATTGGCTGGATTGGAGTTGATTAGTCACAACCCTCCCAACTTTGGGGTTTTATTTAGCCTTGAATTGTTCTGTCCACTCGGTATCTTAGGAACCAGACCACAACAAGCCACTGGTTCATTGTACACCAGTTGTCATGGTTCCCACCCACTTAATTCTGTTTATATATCACAATGGTAGCTGACTACTTGTACAGTGTACTCCCTGACTGTCAGGTGAGCCCCGCCTGGGGCCCGTCTGTACAAACATACAAATATTTACACTCAACTTTTGAAGTGTAGTCTGGTTTACAGGCTCAAAGAACACTCTTCCCTCTGTGTATAAACAGACTGGAGGTCGTAATTGAATGCAGCAACTAGTTTTCTCCATTTTGATTCCTACATTATTGAAATGTCAAACTCTGTGTGTTTTTTTATTTTTTTTTTTTTTTTGTTTTTTTTTTGAAGGGGTGAGGGAGCAAATTCTCTGTTTTATTTTATCTATGAAATGAAGATTCCTGCTCCGGCATGTTCTTTGGGGCACTTTCTTAAACAATACCAGAGATGTCATTGCTCATAATTATTTTGTTTGGAAATGAAAAGGGTTTCTATCTCAACCCCTCCAAGTAATGAAATACACCTCTCCACTTATTCAACTGGATTGAGGAAATTATTGACATGATTTATCCAGAACAGAAAGACCTCAAGTCCCAAAGTTCACAGATCTTTTGTTATGTTGCACTTCACCGGTTTGTCCGTCATGAGTGTTACTTGACACTCACAAAAACCGTATCAATGTATCCTTTCCAACACTGCCATTTATAATTTATTAATCTGATAGCAAATGTGCAAAGTTCATACAGCACAATAGAATCATATCAAAGCGTGAAAACTGAATACCATGCATTTTAAATATCCATCCTTGTTTTAGCGACCTGACGGAGTAGATCAAAGACAAATAATGGAAATTACGAGTTAATTTCAACATCTGATTGCATATATATTGTAAATGTACATGTATTTGGCAAAATACGCCCAGACTTTAATGGAAGACTTACAGTGAACAGTAAATCCTCTTCATGTTGTGTGCTTTGGCTTTGTTTTATTTATGTTGTACTTTTTAATGTTCTTCGGTTGTTGTCAACATTTGTTTTAATTTGAGTTTCAAAAATGGGTTTTGTCAGATATTTATTTTGTTTGTGTGTTTTTGTGGTAGTAAATGCCTTCCAAGAAAGGAACTAAAATTGCATAAATGTGATTTATTTTTGTTGATTTTCACTTATTATTATATTGTCCTGTTTCTTGAAAATTCATGCAGAGTTGGGTTATTGATGAAAACCTTGACTTTCCTGTTTTCCCAAACTGATTTTGTATTTATTAGCAAAAAGAACATCGGTAACAGAAGTCACAATTTAAAGACACGTTAATTCTTTTGTATAAATCAATCACGAGGTGTAATGTTGATTTCTTTAACATGTTCCCATGCATATATCACACGCATCAAAAACAGTATAATTTTGTTCAATATCTAGCATGTCCCAATTCGTGCAAGATGGATGATCGGTGATCAACCAAAAGAAGACAGCACACGACACCACGGTCAACAGCTGATAACTTGGTAATCTACAAAGATTACACCACCTACCGGTTCGGGCGCGGTAGCCATTACACCCGTCAGTCAAGTTTGCAGTCTCTCAGTCCAAAAGCAAATCCACAAAAGTGGTCACATTCTGTGTCAAAAACGGACTTTTTTCGCACACCTAGTTGAAGCTTTCGATTCGAAGCTCTAAACCATGTAGTCGTATCAAGGCACGCGCACGTACGTAACGTTCAATGTGATCCAGCTGTTCGAGTCGGTGGGTAATTGTGGTCCCGTTGCTAGGGGTACGGGTACGGTGCGTTGGCCCGGGTCGGCGGTGAATGGAGGGCATGCACTCCGTGGGGTCATGGGTGCATTGAAGCGAGGGGAACAATCCTTGAATTCGAGCAGATGCAGTCGATCGAACTTCAGTGATTCTTTATTCGCTACTTATTCTTGTTTTTCTTTGTTACGGTGGTCAGTGGCCTCTCACTTTACTACAGTCCCGCATAAAATTATGCTCCGTGTAACTTTGGATGTTTTAACTTAAAATTTCAAAAAATTGTCACGGAATGTTTTTATTCCTAAAAGTTATTGAAGGCATTTTAAATTATGACTCCTGTACATTGATTGGCTGGGACTGTAAAACTTGAGATTTATTCTAATTACTGGTATTACCAAATGCAAATTGGTCGCATCTCAAGTATACTAAAAAGAAAAATATTTGCGCCCGTTTTCTGAATGCAATTTAAATGAAGTAATGCACAGTTTGTTAAAAATATAAAATGACATTTCAGGAACCTTATATTAGTTAATAAAAATAACGATTTGGTCAGTCGGTTGCAAATTGCAAACTCGTGTTTATTCGCCTTTATCAGCGTCGATATTGGATAACTATAGTGCTCTGCATTCATTGAATGTATTGAAATGTCTGTATTTTTTTTTTCGTTTTATTATGTTGGTTTTTTTTTTCATTTCGTCATGAAATTGTTGTTCTGATTGGATGTTTTTATCGTCTGTAGGTTTTTATACAGGGTACAGGTATCTGTTCATTTTTCAAGACGTTTTGTTTTCTTTCTTAGAGTGCATCAAAATTGATCCTCCCCCCTACTCAGTGACCAAATTTGTTTTTATGTCAGTTAACTCTTGACCTTTTAAAATGGTTGCATCATGGTCGCATGATATCGACTGAGATGGTTTTCGTTGGAAGCGTCCTGGCATCTGGAGTTTTACGTACATAGTTTGAGTCCTTTTTGTGTACAACTTTCGGGAGTATCTACTTGAATGGATTTGATTAAGTCCAGGTGTCCTAAAGTTTTGACCACTGTTACGGAGACCGATAATGCACGAATCAGTATTGCTGCACACCAGTCCCGTATCCCGCTGTCACGTTGCCATCCTCCAAAAGTCTTGTTGCATAATCCCCACGATTCCTAGCCCTCTCCTTCCCCGGCCTGTTATATGGCGCCATCATTATCGTCATTCTTGCATGATTTACGTGAGAAGTGACTTGCCTCCTAAATTGCTTTATAGCCATGAAAAACTGTATCTGTTACCTACTATACGTCCCATGTCCTTGAAGTAATTCGGTTCTGGTATTATGTTATCAGGATTGCATGGAAAAAAAGTGTCTTTGCCTCCTACAAAGATGCATTTCAGTATAGGAAGTTTATTTCATCTCGTAAAACAGCTTGGCCACAATCAAGAGGCAGTGCCATTGCCGTCTATTAACCCCATAGTAAATCCGTTTAATCAAATATTCATTATATGCAATGTATATTTAAAGGGGTTGTAATACAGAACACGAGTTTACACAAGACGACGCTGCTGATCTGACAATAAACAAATAACCATTGTAAACAGTGGTGTATGATGTCTGTAACTTGGCCATGCATCAGATGGCTGGGCTGGGGATGGACGGCATGGCATCGTGTACGCCCCTCGTTGCTGCGTACATTTTACTCAAGTGAGCACAGCCGTTTCTAGCCTTGCAATTTGATAATTCATTGGAATCAAGTTTAGCTTTGGCATTGGCTTTAAAACGTTACAGGCCTACCTCCGCGCGCAACGCAGGTTCCAGTTGATCCTATTTAGTTTGGTTCAAAATGATGTGAGAGGTCACAGGTAGAGCTGTTAATTTTTTTTTCGTTTCATTTTCGAAAAGAGTGGGCCCTTCTTGGCGTTTACAATAAAGAGTGTCATAGAGGAAATTCCATTTCCATTCTTAAATTGTTAGAACGAGGACAAAATACAGTACAACAAACAAATATGTATACGCGCGCATGCAGAAATCGGCTTTTTGCACCAAAGATGATTTATATAATAATAAGCTATTCAGAACTGATGAAGCTGCAATATAGCATAATGGTCACAGTGGGTTAACTGTGACTGAAACATGAGTTTTGTAAGTTTCTGGTTTCAACATAAAGCTAGTTGATACAAAGTGAATCGCGATTTCGTATCAATCACCTCGGCGGTAGGCCTACTCTTTAATCTGGGAGTAGGCACCAGCACGATGTGTACATGCAAGTGTAACAAGTGCATGATTCTTACATATAGGCCTACTGTAGGCCTATTTAAGAAAGAAGCTTACGTGAGATGGATGTGGGTTATTTCTCCTGGTGACGGAGCATGGTCGAGGCTGTGATGGCTTGACGGTCTTCGGGGAATAGTCCACCTCGTAGATGCTGGCCAAGCGCTCGGTAAAATACCCACCGCTCCCCGTCTTCCGCGGCCGGAACAGCACGGACCCGCTACTCTCGTGCTGCTCACGGATCTGCTTGGCCATTGCTGTAGCTTCCACTGGACCAGACTTCTCGTTGTTGGTCTTTTCAGTCATTGTCTCCCTCAAAATCCACTCACCGCGGAGATGTTTGAGAGGTTTTTTTGGTCCTCTTTGGAAGTTGCGCTGTGCATCTACATCCTCAAAGTAAACTTTTGTTGACAGTTCGGCGCGGTAACAATGATGCCTGTTTTGCATATAATTAGTGAGCAGCGCCCTCGTGTGTCTGGTCCACATGAAAAACGCCCTCTTGAAGAATAATGCTCGATTTCCTCTGAAAATCTGTTAAAATGTTAAAAATGACATTTGTATTGTAAATTTTGCATGCAAATAGGTTTTTAATCAAGTCAAACTGATTACTGATGAAAATCGAACCGTTTCGTTCACTTAGCTAATGGAAATGACATTGACAGTAGTTGCTATGGACCAAGTGTATACGTAAACAAACGCCTATTCTGATTTTGCGCAGTAGGCAACTTCTGCTTTGCGCACAAAGAACGTGAAGATTTTTTGTGGCTTGAGTTGCTGCTCATCACGAGTTGGGAACGCCAAAACCTGTCTTAATTATTGACTTTGGAAGACGGTTAGTGAACCAAAATGCCAGTTACTGGCAAAAACCAGAGTAATGCTCCGATAACGGAGCAGATTTCAGAAATCACTCGTAAAATAGCTTTGCTGGGTGAGTACGATTTTGTTCATTTTACTGATTCAGGCCTTGTCGTCATGCTCGTATTGATATTTAATGTTTGGTACTTCCTATCCTAGGACATGTAGGACTTACTCCCAGTTATATTAACCTACCTGTTTACTTGTGTGAGATACATGTAGATCTCATTTTTACTCAATGTGCCCATGACTGGCCTGTAACTCGGCTGGAATGTATTCATTGTCAATTTATAAAACATGTTTGTACGTACAGAAGTGTTTTCCGCAAATTATTGGGCCTAGGCCTACGCCCCACTGTGTCCTTTGCCTGCACCACTCTTACACAAAATACAATCAAGCATGAGCCTAATGAGGGTCCTAAGCTATGGAATTCTCTACACGTCTCTGTAAAGGATAGGAGCCTCATGGAATCTACAAATATTCAAACAAAAATATAAGGCTAACTTATTAACTGGGTAGGCCCTAGGCCTATATAAATTCTGCTTAATTATATTCTGTTTGTATGTCTTACAGGGTTAGAGCCTAGTCCTACTGTTTTCTTAGTGTCTAGTTTAATGTTGTAATCACTGTGTTGTTGTAATGATGTGTATTATTCCTAATTGGGCTTCCTACTCGACAAGCACTGCTTCTGAGGGACTCCATCCACATTCATCCTTCTTGTTATATCTTTTGTACATACCTATAGTTATGTGGAAAAAGAAAGAAAGAAATGAATGAACCAAGTCCTGCAAGTTAACTTTCAGATTACGCCTAAAAGGCTATTCTAATTCATCCATTATGCCCACTCATCTTTTCATAGTTTCCTTAAAAAAGTGGTCTGCATACAATATGAACAAAGATAAAGTTTCCTCTGGTCAAATGAGTAAGGCTTAGGCCTAGGCCCATCCATTTTTGGTTTTACAACAGATGTATATCGATGAGAGAACCTTCAGCAGGATTACTGTAGTTCATTGTTGGAAAAACTAAGCACTTGCACAAACTTGTAATGAAATAAGTTCTTGGATATGTTAGAAAAAGAATGTTGCAGGAATTTCATTTCCTGAGTTTATTCACCTGTGACCATCAACTAATTATTTTGCACAACCAGATGGTGATCGTAAAGCATACTACGAGAGCTCGCAATGGACAATCAACCAAAACCGAGAGACCATCAGCAAACTACGCAAGGAGAACAAGATGCTGCACAAGCGTCTAGCCGACAGCAAGGCTGGGGATGAGAGGGTCATCAACACAGCCTTCAAGGACCGCAATGTTGAGAGGGCTTCCCTCAGAGGCAAATCGGGAAAGGTAATTCAAGTCAGAAACTCAGTTATTGGTTTTAAATTCATCTAATCTCAAATTTAGAATGACATGCTTTTTTGAATGCAGTGGAAAAAAAATTGCCAAATTCCTTCAAACTCATTTTGTGGGGATTTATTGGTACATTTGACAAGTTTAAACAACAAGCCTACTTTCTACTAACCAAAGCACCTGCTTACAAAAAATGGGTAGTTAACACTGTGTTTCCGTTTTTGATGGTGCATCATCAAGCCTAGCAGTTGCTTTCATTGTTTCTTAAACATCTCTGTCACAACAGGAAGCGATACTCAACATGGACCAGAAGGTGTGCGAGGCTAAGAAGCGATTGAACTACGAGAATGCCCAGACAATGAAGATGCAGAAGAAACTGACTGAGCTGGAGACACAGTTGGCCCAGATGAGGAAAGATGCCTCAGATGCAGAGGCCATGGATGCGGGCACCTCGGAGGAAGCAATGGTCAGTTGAGGATTCCCATGTCTTACGTACCTTTTTGTAATTTCATGAGTCTGTAGCTTATATCTTCATTGAGATGGTAGGTAATTAGTTTGTTTTCATCATCTGTCCGTCCATTCATTAAAAAAAAACAGACCTTGCGCTCACTAGAGAACCGTCTGGACAAGGCCCTCTTGAAGCTACACGAGGCGGAGCACATCAACCGCACTTACCTGGCCATCAAGGACCAGATGGTCAAGGACAGCCTGACCTTTGGCAATGACCTGGATGATATGGAGGCGGAGATCGAGAAGCAGAAGCAAGAGCTGAAAGACCTGCAGACTATGAACCGCGACGCCCAGATCTCCCGTGACCAAGCAAAGGTGAGTGATGTTCAGAGTGCTGGCAAGACCCTTCATAATTAGCAACAACAGCTTTCTAGCCTAATCACGAAAGAGCTTTTAAAAATTAAACCAATGTGTAAGGATTAGATCTGTAAAGGTTTTAATTTTTCTTTCACTATCTTAAAATAACCTTAATTTGAAAAATTAAACCTGAAATCAAACATACGTCATGAATCAAAGGTTGCCCAGAAAAATGTAATCTGTTGAGTGTGAGATTTTCTGTCTGTTAATGGTTGAGATGTATCATATCTGCATCAATTTCCCAAAATATGTAAAATTATTCACTTTATAGTAACCACACAGGGAGAGCAACTCATTTTTAGGTTATATGAGCACCAAGGTAATAAGGAACAATCAAGTTCTAATTCAAGATGTCCCCATCTCTAATTGGTTGTATGCAGGCCGAGCTCGCCAAGCATGAGGAGACCGTCTACCGTGAGAAACGAGAACGAGAGGAAGCCCTGACTGACCTCAGGAAGCAAGCCGAAGAGAAAAAAGCCCACGCCGAGAGAGTGGAGAGACGGGTAAATGTCTTGTCTAGTCTAGTCTAGTCTTGTCTTCGAGGATCTTTTGCTTTCATAAAATTGCAAGCCTCACTGTCCAGGGTGACCTGGCTTGTGAACATCTTCAACTTGATCTCAGCAGACTCGGCGCCTATATCAATTGTTTGGACATCAGCACCAAATGAAGCTGTCTGCCTTCGGCCTTCCAAGGCATGAAATTCACACGAGTCTGGAAGTATAAATCAACTGTCTGCCAAAACAGCAATCTGATTGATCAGAAATTATGTTAATGCGTATTTGGAAGTTTTCATGAATAATTAATTCCATGAGGTCAAAAGAATGACCATTTTTGTCTCACAAAGAGCATGAGTAAAAGTACTTTAGCTTTCAAGGATTATAATTTAGGAACTGAAACCAGTTGCCGGGAATTGAAAGCCCCTAAACCAGTTAGCTTTTCACTGATTGCAACGTCTTTTCATCTTACCACAGCTTCACCGAGCTTCCATCCAGCACGATGAGCTCACTGCTGAGCAGAAGCAGTTGATCAGTGGAGAGGAACAGGAGAAGAAGATTGGCTCCTACGAGGAAGCCTTCCTTGCCATCAAGGATGCAACAGGGGTCAGTGACCTCCAGGTTAGTCACTTAATTGTCCTCAGACGCTGTCAACTGGGTGCTTTCTACCATCCCTACATACCTAGCGGGTACCTAGCGATTACTGTACTGGGCATAAAATGCAAAGTCTCAAACACATCAGTATCCAAGTGGCTGTATCAAATACATGTACTAAATCACTCTTGTACCAGCTTGGCATTTGAAGCTGATTTTTATCGGCTTCTAATTGCGAGATCAAATTTCTTATGTGGACAGAAGTCTTCACATTTAAACAAAGACACCTTAGAACCTGTTTGAGTCACAATTGAAATGCAAGAAAACTTGAACTGATGGCTAACCTGTCATTGCTGCACTAGGAGGTTGTGTTGCGGTTCGAGTCACAAGAAGAAACCACAAAGCACCTCGAGGATCTCAAGGACAGCGGGGAGAAGCAGGTGAATCGTCTCAAAGAGGAGAAGGCCAAGCTACAGCGAGAGTTTGAGGAGATGAAGTACTCAGGGGAGGCGAGATTATCTAGGTGAGTTAGCAACCCCCACCCCATTCTACTGTTCACAGTTAGTAACAAAATGTACTCGACATGGTATGCATGAAAAATGATGACGGTCTATCGTTACTTGCAACAACTGACAAGAAAAGTGTACACTGGCTGTTACTTTGAAGAAATAATTGATAATTCCTAACTCTGTGAACCCATAGAATTCTATTCAAAACTTTACAAGAGAACTTGGTTTACACTGTCCAATGGGAAAGATAATTCTGTAATTAAATTGGCTCTTTCTTTTGTCACAGTGGACAGAGGATGCTGGAGCAATTCCAGGCCCACTTGAAGAACGAGGAGGACCGAAGGACCACCTCCCAAGACAAACTGGACAAGTCCAGTAAGATCCTGGTCAACGTCAAGTCAGGAGTGGAGCATCTAGCTGACAAACTGCAGCACCTCAAAGCTGTACGTCAATAGTTCGCTGTTCTTTGATTCTGCCAAATCTGTTTTAAGTTTGATTTCAAATGATTGAAATAATGTTCTGCTAACTGTTTGTAGAGCAGTCAATCAGATACCCTAGAAAACTCAGTATTCAAGGACAAATTTTTTCTGTCACAACAAACTCGGTGCCTTTCTTTGCAAACAACCAATGACGTGTCAGTGACTGTGATCTGTTCATTTTTTCCCGCAGAGCAAAGGTCACGTTCCCCAGGCTCAGCTATCTCCGACGTCTGATGAGTTTGTCTTGGACCTCCTGTCAACCTGTGAGGAGAAGCTCCTGAAATTGATGGAGGACCTCGATGGGCAAGACGTGGACGAGACTCTCCAGCAAATGGAAGAAGAGGAGGTAGAACGTTTTGTCCAATTTATCAGTTACCGGCAATTTGGTGAAATCTGCAGGGCAGTGTTGCCTCAAACTATCTAGCATCTGATTTTTCTTCCATGTTTTTTTTAGAAATGCTGTCATTTCTCTTACTCTCTTCTCTGACTTGACACAATTTCTTCCAGTTCCATGTGGGTATCGAGGGCCAAATGCCTCAATACAACACACGAATCAAGCTTGCTGCCATCTCAAGAGACACTGCATATGATGGTAGGTGCTATTCACTTGCCCTTAATGCTTCAACCAATTTCAAAAGACCCAGTTTGCTCGGTTATATATTTTTATTCTTTTAAATGCAATATGTTTGCCTTTACATAATGAGAGCATCATCTACATGAACTGAATTGTCAGACGAAAATTGACAACACATTTTTGAACGTGCAGATGATGATGAAAGCGGCGATGATGAAGACATCATCACAAGGAGCCAACTCAAGAAGCAGGCCCAAACACTAGTGGACTCCAAGACCAAGAAACACAAGGTCCGCGCCCGCAAGAAGAAGGGCAAGTAGAGCCCTCAACGAATGCTCCTTCCCCAAGCAGAACTGACATTGAGTCACCAGGGCACCAGACTTGTCCATCACCTTTCAGCTTCTCTCCCATGGAATTAAAAGTTTTGCCCAGTTCTGTTGCCTCTATTGTGTATATACTGTAGTGTTAAAATGATCACATGTACATTTTATTAATCTGTAAGAATTGAGACATTACTAGAACATTTACTTTGCAAAGTGTAGTTCTGTTCCCAATTGTGGCATTTATAAAAAAACAAAAAAACCAAGATTTATGGGAAGTAAATTTGAGCCAAGAATTTCTGCCGGGCTGCTTTGCCAGCGCGAAGGTTTGTTGTCGGTCTTTTCTAACGATTTCGCAATTCGGTAGTTTGGGTGTTACATTTTTTGACAGGCGGAGTTGTAGGAGGGGATACATCATTCAGTCATAAACATTTGTATGTCTTAAAACGCTCCGAAAGCGTGGTTCCCCATTGTGTGACACCCATATTTTGTTATAAAAATGGTTGCGTCTAACAAGTTGAAAGTGCTTTTGTCCAAATGTGTAAATATCGAAAAAAATTCGTGGAAAGTGTCGTTCGATAATAAGCATAAATGTATTTCAAATGGGTGTTTTGGGGTGTAAGCATACAGGATGTAGCAGGGTTTGTTATGGACATGTACATTTGCATGCAGGTGCATGTACATGTATTTGTGCGTGAATGCTGTGACAATATCCGTCCATGGCGATGACAGAATTCAGGTCTGTGTTTATGTACATTCGTAAGCCTACAGCTTTGAACATTCAAAAGATTTTAATAAAAGAAAATATGTTGCTGTCGACCTGATGTTTTTACTTCGCGAGTCATCATCATGTAAGTCACGCAGAATTTTTTTTATTTAACATAAAGAAATTTTGCATGTATTTCCAGTGGTCTGTGAGACTTGATGTTTTCATCACAAAAGTACGTTTAACCCTAACCCTCCTCAATCCTTCACCTGTTGGAGGATTGAGGAGGGTTAGGGTTAACTCGAGCCGTTCTGGATGGTGAAAGTCGTAATAAAAGTAAAGAACATGTGTATCCACGTGAACAGTTTAGGTGGTACGCGCGCGTTACATTCCTGTTCGATCAATCCGGTTCGTGTGACGTTACTTCAGTTTAAACCACGCCCACTGCGCAAGCACTGCATATAGAGTTACATGCACTGGTCGCCGTTTACATGGAACCGTGGAACCTGGAGTTAACGCGCAATTTAAGCGGTCGTCCATTGGGAGCCTGCAAGTCGTGGCGCGTCCACCTTTGTGACGAAGTCACGAACCGGATAGGATGTTGTGCCAACTGATCTCTATATTAGAATTATTGAGAGCAGTGGTTGTATCTTGCCGTAATCACACGAACGCCAAGTTTAAGAACGCGCGCCCATGTCGCCATCGCAGAAAAACGTCTCCTTGAATGGGTCTACAAACGGACAAGGCGCACATCTGTGTCCACAGTGGAAAAACCCAGGGTTTTTTTCCGTTTTTGTACATGTGCAGTGTACACGCTTTTACTCGGCGAGGTTAAATAACGCATGGGACGCAAGTTTCATTGGTCTCGTGATGTGTCGCCCTTGCCCATCAGCCGTAACTTATTGTAGGAAAAATGACAAAAACTGAAAATGCGCGGCTCTCAGGAATGAGTTTCCCTATTGATTTTTATTTTTTGTCCACAATGATTTTTAAAATTGTCTTTTATGACACCGGGCCTTGTATATCGATAACAATTACATGTATTAGTGTCTCGGCAGAAAACTTTTCTGCCGACCTTCTGTTCGAAATCTGCCGACTAGAACCACTTACTAGAATGTTTTTTTGGGGGGACAACGGAACGTGTGTTATAGCCTTTTTTGTGGGAGAAGTCATCACTCATCAGCTCTGACGACAGCCCTTCAACTTTATTTTTATATTCAAGGCCAATGAAACTTTTTTTCTTTTCCATTGGTTGAACACTCCTAACTCTTTGTGAAATCTTAATGTCTGTTTCGTGGAAACATTCACACAAATCAGATCGAAAAGAAATGGCGTCTTCTGTCGGTTTTAGGCTATAATTTGAAAGGGAAGCTTCGATCGCAGGTGTCGTTGGTTAGCATATTCTCATTTAAAACAAATTTAAGAAAGAACTGGTTGTTATTATCAACGATGTGGTGGAAATTTTTGTTTAGAGCAAGAAATTCAGTTTACTGTAATGTCTTCGTATATGTCGTTCGTGTGTACATGCGTCTGCACCTGTGTTTAAAACCTCGCCGGATTACGGAGACAAACCTCATTATGCGCTGACCTATATGCTTTCATACCTTGTGATCCTAGAAACAAAAAGGAAACTGTAAGATGTATTTTAATATGTAACTATAAGATGTGTGTTAATACAACGCTTCCACAGAAGTCATCAGTGCTTCATTTAGAATAAAAAAGGTTTTGACAAGTTCATAAAATTATGGATTTGCCAAAAACACCGAAAACTTGCTGTTGCCTGTAACAAAGACAATTATTGAACTGTAATTATGCCGAGCTCTGCGGCATTTTCAGGATGTCAAGTGTTCCAATCGTCAGAGCTGTGAACTGTTCTTGTTCGTCATCTCATGTTCTTCATGAGGTAAGATGCCTATTCTATGTGGCATTTTTACCATTTTATCCTCGGATAAACTTTACCCTTATGGCTCATAAAGTTTCTGAAACCTACTTATTTAACGGCCAAAAGTTTAGAGTGTCTGAGAATTTCTTTTGACCGTGGTGTCAGTCCGCAACTCTCAGCCTTTCCTAAATACATGTACATGTACACTCGTCGTTGGAGGGAACGGTGCCGTCTTCAACTCCTGATGAAGTGTATTTGGAAGAACCAGAGTCACGCACCCTTTTCTGACCTTGAACCGATTACTTTACCCCTTACCTTTCTACCGTTTTTAGGTCATTAGCAAAATGAGGTTTCGCATCCATTATTAATTGTCTCTTTTGTAGAAAAAAATCAGGTACATTCATCGGTTCTCGGAGTCTTACAGTTTCGAACAAGTACGTCTGTCGCTGCACCCACGCAGGCGTCAAAAATACCGTTTTGCAAAGAAAAGACCCACCAAGCTTACAAAATTTCAGACACCAAGAACTTACGATTCATCAATCTCATGCATGCATGCAGCACCTGTAATCAATCATGAATGTTTGACAATTCACTGGCGCCATGCGACATCTATAATCAATCATGGATGTTCGTGACATTGCAGATATAGGAGAAGGACATTGTTACCAATTCCACGCAATAGTGAATGCTGTAGTCTAGACGGAACGATATGCTCTCACACACGACAATCAATGGTGTATGTCCCACAAAGGGGGCGGAAACGTCACCCCCAGCTCCCCACGGTGGATAAATGTGACCAAAAAGCTTTCAAACTGAGCCCTATGTTGTCCATCCATTCAGCCGTCCTTGTCTACGTCTGTAAGCATGCACCCCGAAACATCGGGATGCATGCTTACAGACGTAGACACCCTTGATACCCTTACCAATTTGAAATACCGAAATACCTCAACAGGTCTTCTCTGATTACATCGTAGTTGTGTTTTTCCTACAAAAGTGGCTGCTCAAACTATGGCTGTCCTTCAGTAAAAGGATAATTCAAAAGCCAAAAGTAGCTACCACAATACCAGATAACGATATAAGTATTAGGTCTACTGAATGGAAATACAACCCTTCTCAAGATTAATTGGACGACTGTATATTTCCAACAAAATTGGGGTAAAATCAAAACCAACGAATGGGTAATTTCTCTGCAAACGCCAACCGTCCATGTTAATGAGATTGATCTTTGGGCAGAGAATACTGTGTAGCGAGTGAGCCGTGGGGAAAGAAACGATACCCAATGCCAGACAGTCTGGCCCGTTACCTGGTTTGCTTAGCACATACATGTACATCCTTTCACATAAGTAAAATGTGTCTCTGATGACTTAATGAAATGGGGCCCTGGAGATTTTTGGACACGAACTTAAAGTACCTGGCTGGTCAGTGCACTGCAAAAACTGGGGTGTTAAATTTAACACCCGCGGTGTTATCAGAAGACTACACCAACACTATTCACT